GGAGTTTCATTGTAATGTTTTGAAAAATTGTTGGGAAAAATCTACAATAATATTAAATAAAAAAATGAGTTTCCATAAAAATGTTTAAAGGTGATTTTGACAACTTCTTCATAGCTGTGCTTGAGATCAAATCGTCAAATTGCTGTTTGATGCTCTTTGTTGAAACTATTTTTGTAACATATTTTTCACAAATGTTTCGTTTTTCGAGATATTTTACTTATTTTGCAGAAAGAGGATAGGAAGATTTATTTATAGAACGTCGACTGTTAGACAGAGACTATTATAATACAATATAACAAGTCTGAAGACGATGCTCATTTTCACTTCATGTGCCTTTTATGACTATTTATTGATTATTAGGAGGGAAAGAATATAAGAATACATAACTTTTACCTATTGCATTTTTATAAGTGTTTTAAAGCGATCTTATTATTTTGTTTTCAGATTACATCAGAGTTTCGTTTTTGTTACTTACGGAAGCAAGTTTTACGTACTACGGAAGATTCGAGGCTTACTTCCATAACTGTCTTAAAGTACATCAAATTTTATTTTAACCGAAAATAGAATTGCCTCGGTGATCTAAAGGCTTAGGACGCTCGCCCGGAGAGCAGGAGATCCGGATTCGACTCCTGGTCGAGATAATATTTTTCGCAATAAGAATTAATTATATATATATATATATTATATATTTACAGATTTTAATATGTCACTCAGCATTATTAAGATCGTTCGAAAAAAGCATCAAACTGTTAAATTGCTAGTCAATTTAACTCGTAATATTACTGCGGTAGTTTAGTAGAGTTAACGTTTCTCAAAACCGAAAAATCATTTCGGCGCGCGTTTCAAAGGACTACATACGTAGTATATAAATTCATACAGAATCATACAAGCATTTAAGATTCAGCTAGACCGGTTAAGGCACTAATTTCTATAGAAAATAGAATTTTTTCTTTTATTTGATTTATTCACTTACTAGTCAAATTTTAGGTTTATTATTGCTCAAATCTTGTCATATCTTGATAACTTATTCAAGGTAGGTACATAGAAGGTACATAGTAGGTACAAATCTTTTTTCTTTATTTACAAATTACACGCAAGAAATTTCAATGTATCATTTCTCACTTATGTCACAGTTCCAATATGGCCGTGGCGATTAATCAGGAGCCTTTTGCTGAAGATTGCGATACAAATGGCGCAATAAAAGATTTAATACGAGGGGCACTACTTATATTTTGAGCCTTGGCAACACTGAGTGTTGTGCCATCTGACGTTTCCACTAGAAAGTTTGACATTTTTGATCATAACCTTCTTCAGAACGTTTTGTTATTTGAGCGCGATTTGTATTGTTTACAGTCACTTGAAAATTGTGTCTCAGCGAAAAAATGGAATTAACTCGTGAAAATTTTCGTGCAATGATTTATTACGACTTTCGACGTGGATTATTAAGACAGGAGTGCATCGATCAATTTACTTCCACTTTTGGCGATAAAGCCCCATCCTTTGCCACTGTGGCTATGTTTACACCGTACGCTTAGTCCGCGACCTATATGATAGGTGTCTTTGTTTAATATACAGGATAAACAAGGACGTCTATTGTATAGGCCGCGGCCTAAATGCACGGTGTAAACGTAACCATTGCATTGCATGATCATTTAGCCGTGAAAAAGGTTTGTTCTCGTTGGATTCCACATAATCTGACAAAATCTCAAAAAGATGCTCATGTCGATTGGTGCAAACAAGTGGTTCGAACGCATGCAAAAGTGTATAGATCATAAAGGAGAATATTTTGAAAAACAATAAAGTGATTTTCAATGACAAATTACTGTTTTTTTATTATTAGACTCAAAATATAAATAATGCCCCTCGTATTATAGGGCTAGTATCATATAATGGTAATATACATTTCTAAATTAAATTCGAAAAGTGGTTTGAACATTTATATGAAAATACACACTGAGAAAAATGAATTTGTTATTAGAACAAAAAATGATTTATGTGATAATTTGATAGGAAAACGAATCGATCAGTTATATTATTGCGAATCTTTACTCAATATACTATTGCGAATCATTTCTTATTATTCGTTGATATAACAAACAATAGTTATGTAACAAACATAGTTTACGATACAAATAGTTTACACATCTGTACTTTGTTTTTTAAATTATAAATAATCTTTTCTTAATGGTCGCGTTCAGCAGACTAAATTGTTGCAGAGCGGATCCGTGAGCGCTCGTTGCTATTGGTCTAAAAGAATACATCAAACGCGCTCACGGATCCATTTCGCAACAAATATTTTTGATAATAAAACATCTGTATTAATATTAAATATTCTTTATATTGTATCTAGTCCTTTTTTTATTTATTGATTTTTGATAATATCTTTATTCTTCTGAAATATCGACGGTATTCTTTTAAAATTCTTAAAAATGAAACAGAAGAATGTGCTTAACATGTGCCGAACATATATAATATATTTGAAAAGAAAAAACTTTCTTTTGTGCGCTGTGTTAAAATAAAGAAAATTCTCAGAAAATTTACTTCGAAGATTGATGTCTTCTTCTTTTGTTGTACGTGAAACATACAGTCTGCATGCAGTCTATTGTCGCTATTGACAATTGTAGTGTTTTAAAATGTATGGAGGGAGAATACAGAGTTAGTACAGATTTTACAGTATAGGGTAACTCCGGTATATACGCCGTACCTATCAAAAACTTAATTTATTAAGTATTATTTACTATGTTTATAGTAAATGAACTATATCAGTAAAAATTTTGTACTGTCTACTACTATGAAAAAAATATTAGAAATCCGAAATATTTATTTTTCATATTAAAAAATAAACTTTTTGAAACCTTGTATTTTTGCCGCATATCTCATAGGGGTGTGTACGGCTCATGAAAAATTTACAAATAATGCAAACATGCTTAATAATACAAACATGCTTTCCTATTCCACTACACGTATGTATCACGAAATAATCACTAAGTCTTTTACACGTCCTACATTAATCATTTTATGTAGATTATAACTTATGATGGCGTTACTTATTACAGTGACAAATCGATTCAAATCACAATAAATTCATTAATATGATATTAACAGTAAAAAGCTGAAATCATAACACAATACTAATATAACATAAGGGCATGTAACAGAGTAGTACGAGAAAATTACCCCCACTCCTATTTTTTCTGACTTCTGGCGTAAATTCCAGGGCGCCATATTGCCACTTACCCTATATATATACGTTTCGAATAGGTACAGAAGCTAGTTTTACTTAGGAGGATTCAAGACTTACTTCTAAAGGTTCTTCTTAAGGTACTTAGGAAAATAATTCGAGACTTAGTTCTTAAGGTACGTCAAATTTTATTTTTACCGAAAATTTTTTCTCTTATTTTATTTATTCACTTACCAGTCCAATTGGAACTGGGTTACTATAATTAGTAATTCCTCTTCGTATACTCAGTTTCTATCGTTGCTACATTTGGTGGTGTTTCCAATATCTTTATTTTTGCTAAAAATTAATGCTTCTCAAATATATTTTACATATTCAATGGTACATCTACAAAATTATAATAAATTGCATAAAGTTTTACATGTTTAATAACAAAAGAAATTTACTTTGCTTCTCTCTTTTTTTATATATATATGGTAGAATTACAGGTTTTTTTGTGAACTGAATTAGTGTACACTTTTAAAGTGAGACAAATATATATTTGATATCTGACGAGAAAGAGAGTTTCAAGCTCTTATTAACCTGGATCCCCCACCATCGCAAATTGAGTTGAGACATAGTCAAAAATTTAATATACAGTGATCTTTTTTTTATGTGATACATGTGTACATTACGGATGCAATCATAATCTTACGCGTACACATTCTCTGTGCAATTCATTATTTAAAATTATTCAAAATTATCTCATTTTCTAGATTATCTAATTATTTGATTATGTTAATTATGTTTAGCGATACAAAATTTTATTTTTAATAATAATCTATTTAAATGTTCAAAAGTATTAATTATCACTGACTTATTTTTATTGAGACATACGTTTAAAATAAAATGCAAGTTCGAATAATTAAAGCGACGTACTTTGAAAAAAAATATATATTATTGAAAATAATCAATTGAAAAATATCAAGATTTGAATGTAAAAATTATAAGACTTTTATATTATATATACGTAACGAAAAACACACTCTGTTAAATTTATATAGTGTCAAACTTAACTTAATTTAAGTCGGCACTGCTCCTACTAAATACATCATTATTTTATACTAAAACTGTAGTTAAATTTGACTATTATTAGTGTCAAATTGACACGATATAATCGCAAAACCCCAGTGATAATTAATACTTTTGAATATTTAGACAGATTATTATTAAAAATAAAATTTTGTATCGTTAAGCATAATTGAAGAACAGAATACCAAAATGCACTTTGTCCAAAATTTCGTTTTTTTCAGTTAGAGATGACATAATGTTCATTGAAAGACTCATATTATAAACTACTCTGAGATATTCAAAAAGCATTTTTTCATCGTTAATTTATGCTGAAAAAACATAGACATTTCGAAGTGCATTATGTTTTTTAACTAGAGATAAACAAAATGCACTTGTTTAACATTTTTAGTAATTGTTTAGCAATTTTGTTTAATATTTCACATTCTATTGATTGGCACATTGTTATTTTCTGTAAAGTAATTTTCTTGTGTGCAGAGTTTCTTTTTTTTTTCGTTTTCTGAAAATTACAAATTTTGGATAAAACGCATTTTGAAAGTCTTCTCCTCAATTAACGTAATCAAACAATTATAAGATAATTTAGAAAATTAGATAATTTTGAATAATTTTATATAATAAAATGCACGTTCTCCGTGCATTTTATTACGCGTAAGATTATGCATTCGTAATGTACACATGTATCTCATAAAAAAGATTTTTTTGAAAACTCATAAATTTGTAAATAATTTTTTAAATTATTTTCATTGTAGAGGCTCAGTTGGAAATAAGCTTATAACGGTCGAAGCTCGGCGGTCTAAAGGCACTTGTAGAAAAGAGAAAGAAAGAGGATATTTCGCGCAACAATTCAATCCTTAAAAATGGTAATACTTTTTGGCAATAAATTATTTATAAATTTTAGTATATTTATCAGCATTATTAAAATCTTTCTAAGATGCCTATAAGCGTCAAATCATTAAATTACTAAGCAATTTAATTTGTGATAGGTAGGTCTCTTCTTTTTAGCTGAACTTCTTACATGGTTCATCTTTTCTCATTTTCTCTTCAATGTAGAAAGAACAGGAAGAGAGATGTCGTACAAGAACTTTAGTTAACCTTTAGAGGGCCGGCATTTTTGCCTTGAAATTTTGAATTTTTTTAATGTAAAATTCATGTATATATTGAATGTTTATATTACGAGAAGTTGATGAGTTTTCCGCTGGCCACTATAGTGATCAGTCCGGTCCGCAACGGAATGTGGCCAATGTGGAAAATTTTCATTTTTTATTTTTAGTATTCCTAAGTGTTTTTGATGTCGCAGAACATGTTTCTGAAATCAGATTATCGAAATTTTATGTAGAAATAGTGTTATTTACCTAGATAAGTCTAGATAAGTCGAATTAAATAACATAGACATTTACGTACATATGAAATTTTCCTTTAGCGTAATCCAAGACTAACGACGTGGACGTAGAAAGTTATGTAGTCTCTTTTTTCGTTTTTTTTTACATTTATATATTTTTTGCTAATTATCATTTTTTCCTATCAAATGAAAATATTGGAATTTATGGCAAAGTCTGTATTGTATGAAAATCTTCAAAACACATTCTCAGTTATATTAATGAAATAATAGCTGAATTTGATGGACTGCGGTGATTCAAGTTATACAGACTTCTGTTACTGGCTACTATAATAGCCAGTCCGGCCCTCTAAAGATTAAAAAGAACAGATCTACTACTACGGTAGTTCTGTCGGTATAGCATTTAAAAAATCCGGAATTTGGCAGAATTTGATACGTAATATATATAAATTCACATTATCAGAATTTTAGGCACGGCAAGGAATACAACAAATATAATAAAGGAAGCCATGATTGGTCAAAAGTAGGTGTTTCGAATAATATATTATATATTTTTTATTAAATCAATTTATTATTTATTATATTATTATAATTTATTATTATATATAAATTCATACCGAATTATTTCAGTATCGAAAATCATTTAAAGAAATAAAAGAAACAACATCAAATAAAGAAACAACAAAATCAATTGAAAAAAACGACAAAAACAAAACGGTAATTCAAGAAAAAATGAATTCTCAGACAAGCAACAATGCACCGCCTCCGGTAAGTCATAGAGATATAAAGTTTAATAATGGCGAATTTGATTGGACGCACTAGTGCGCACTACTGCACATTAAAGCCGTTGTACATTGCAATATTTAATTCAAGTATAAAAATGAAATGCAAATGTTACGAATTATAAAATATACATATTTTACCTAACAGCACAATAAAGTGTATTGAGTGTTTCACGATTTATCCGATTTTTATGTTTATTTATAAACATTTCTTTACGTTTAATTTGCGTCTGATGGCTTTAATGTGCACCAGTGCGCACTGAGTGCGTCCAATCGAATTCGCTATTAGAGTTTCAATACGAAGAAGAAAAATTAATGAGACGAATTTTTTAATTGCAGAACAAACCAAATAATCCAGTTACTATGGTCCGTCCAAGGACAGACATCAATAACAATATATCGAGGAACTAGAGATAAAAAATAACAGTTATCGTAAAAATTTGATCTAAAAAAATCATTGATTAGAAGTTGGTATTTGTTCACAGGGAAGACAATCATCACTGAATATTAAAGAAATTGTTCAAAAAATGTAATCCCTAAAAAAACCTTTGTAAAAAAAGAAAATATACACCAAGTGCATAAAAAAGATATTGAATTCTTCTTAATAAAAAATGGATATGAAATAAATGTAATTAGCCAAGTATTTCATTACGCAAGACACATAAGATAGACTGAAAGTGACTAAATTTGTCAATATATTAATATAAAATTGTCAATGAATTATAGTGAAGAAAAAACTTGGCATGCCCGGGTAGCATTAATTGTACTTCTGTGAATATATTATTTCAACACAGTATTTAGATTATAAATTAAAATATATAGTGGGTAACATAGTTTAATTGTGGGTAGGGGAGACCGAGGTGGGTTGAAACAATTTTTGTATTTTTCGTCATAACTATCTCAAATTTTATGTTAGGATTACAATTTTTTGTTTTTTTAAATCCTTTATTCATCCTTCACTAATTCTTAAAAGCAAAAGATTCAAACCTTATAACTAGTTTTTGAAAAATAGGCTTTAAGAGAAGTACTTCAACTATTGCAACCCACCTAGCATCGAAGTAAGTTGAAACAGTACGGAAGATAAGTTGAAACAGATAATGTTTGTACCAAAATTAAACAATATGCATGTATTAATTGATTATTATTTTAACTAACATTGTTAAAAACATTTAAGGTACCTTTTTGAAGAGTAATACACAGTAGATATTTATTAATAATTATAATTGAAGTAATTAAGTCTCATCTTCAGTTAGTTTAACATAACTTTTTTGAGATAAAAAATCATTGACAAATTTAGTCACTTTCAGTCTATCTTATGTGTCTTGCGTAATGAAATACTTGGCTAATTACATTTATTTCATATCCGTTTTTTATTAAGAATTCAATATCTTTTTTAATGTTTAAAATACACTTGGCGTATATTTTTTCTTTTTTTAAAAAAGTTTTTTTAGGGATTTCACTGCTTTTTATAAATTTTTGAAAATGTAATAATGTAGAATTTAAATCTTCTGAAAATAAATACTGATTATGTCTAAAATTGTTATTTTATAAATTTATATTTATTTAATAAGTCATATTGTATTGATTTAACTCATTTATTGATAATTTAATTGTTTAGATTTGTTCTAAAAAAATATATATGCGCTCTTAGCATTTCGAGGCCACTTATATATTTCAATTTTTAAATCATTTACGGATGTCCATTTTATATTTTTAACTCGCAATAAATTTGTATAATGTCCTTTTTTTAATGTCATATATATTTACAATATATCTTATTCGACATAATTATATATTAAAAAATATAATTGTTAAGGTTATTAAAAATTAATGCAATGAATGAAAATAAAAATTTATGGTGGCATTTCCAATGCTTCTCTTGAACATTTCTTCCAAATGGTTTGGTAAAATTCAATCAATCATCGTTTCAAGATAAATCCAAGTTTAATCGAGAATTTATAAAATTAGTTGACACTTACCTGTACACATGGCGCCGAAGGAGTTCATCAATTGTTTTGAAAATAAAAACTGGAAGGTCTTAACATATGCAAGGGTCGGGAGAGATTCATGCACGATCGCAGCTGTGCTGATGGTGGATCTGGCATGCCCTTACCTCTCCGCCCTACACAGATTTTAAGGGAGATTTCCTCGTGAAGAAAGAAGCAGGGGATCGAAGGTTGAGAAAATTGTGCGTTTATTAGTGAAGACGATGTTCGAGCAATCTCACCACTTAATTTCATCGACGATGCCGACGCGAGGCCTCCAGAAATCGCGTTGAGGTCCTAAATGAACAGCCCTGCTGAAGATAGAAGAGGAGAGAGCGAAAAGTGCGAGTGTCTTCGACGAAGACATTTAACTTCTATATCACAAAATTTCTATATCACAATACTTCTTGCGACTTGCTTGCGAAAATTGCAGCAAAAAAGAAAAAGAAACAAGGATTAATAACGATAGTCGCATAATAGCAGTAATAATGATAATTACTCTATAACGATATAATATAATAACGATGACAATAATAATAAGATAATATTGCATTCACAAGTCTTAAAAGGATATTTACGCCTATTTATATCATTGTCGCTCTATCCTCCTCTCTCTCAATCTACTCGCGCATTCTCACTGCTCATGTGATCTTCATTGTATCACGTTCATTGTATCGTCTTCTGCATCGGTGTCACGCGAGTAGTCGATGCTAGAATTAAAATCGGCTTGAGATCTCCATTAGTACCGTCATCTTTTCGGTCGCGACGGACGGGCTGTCCTCGCGTCGAACAAAAAATCGAAGATTAAAAAGATTCACGCATCACCCTCTCACATTCTCTCTCACGGTTATTCTCGCACGCTCGCATTCGGCACCTATGTAGAACATAGCACATATTTTTCTGTATATTTATATATATATTTCTTCTCTCTTTATATTTATATATATATATTTATATATTTATATTTATAATCATTAATATTTTCTTCGTTCATTATACCTATCTATATATTATCTACAGGGCAGTAGCCAAACGCTGACTGACTGTGTTATCGCTTGTGTTATCCGCTCGCGACGATACCGACAATTTCGATTTGACTAGAGAAACGCGTATTCATATATCGTCTCACGCTTCCCGATTACGATGATCCTCGGGAGAGCACACGCGTCCTTTGTTACGTGTAATGTATAATGGTTGACATGTCCTACCTGTCGCAACGTAATACCGATCTATGTCGCAAGTCGCGAAGATCGCGCGCCGCGATGCGCTCGAAATTCTATCGCTCTCTTGGTCGTTTTATAGCGCGGCGAATATTACGTTATGTCGTCCACCGATGCGTTTCAATGAATTCCTGAGAGTATATTGTTTGTGAGGGGGGGAGGAGGGGAAACGAAAGAATAAGTACGTATATAATATGAGTCTCTTGAGCTTGCGATACGCAGTCGCGATCTCGGCCAAATGTCGTTCTCTTTCCCGATCGGTCCCACAACGTGAGATGAGATGCTAGCAGTGGCGGCCGAGGTGGCGACAAGTTTACATCTGACATTCATTTCGCGTGACTTGTGTCTAACATAAGTAGGTACGAACGCTGGAGGAGTTTCTTCGGGACATTACTTTATATTAAGCTGGCTATTAATCTTTACGTTTAACATTATTCGCGTTCAGACACTTGCTCATATTTCTTCATAATTTCATTCTGAGACTCTCCAGCGTTTACATTATATACCATTGTCAAACACAGTGCTATGCGCATATATACTACAGCAAATCTCACAATCAGATGTAAACATACTATAGGGAACATTCGTGCGACACTTCTGGACTTGTATTCTGTACATGGCTATCGACAGTTGTCGACGGTATCGTTAATTAACGACTAATCAGAGTCGCGCTTATTTCCTTTTCACCATTGGCTGTCGCTAATTAACGATATCGTCAACTGTCGGTAGTCCTGTACAGAATACTGTTCCCTGATTCCGTAACTCTTAACGACGGTTATCGTTATATTGTCGTTACACAGGTTTTTTTTCATATCTGCGCAATAACATAATGATACTGACACTGTTAAGAGTTACAGAGTCGGGATACAGACTCAGGAAGCGGAACATAAATCTGAAGGCAAAGTGAATCGTTCGAGTCGGAGCGCATCGCGGCCGAGAAGAAATTCTTATTATAGCAAGCGGACGCCGCGGCGCGAATGATGCTGGCTTTTCAATCGTGCTTACAAATGACGTTTGAGTGTTTCTCTTTATTTTATTTTTATTTTATTTTAAATCCTATTCCATACTTATATACTTATGAATTAATGTTAAAAGATGCGTCCGCACCGCGACGCCTCGTCTCGCCTCGCTTTTTGTCGAGCCGCTTTCGTGACATTCCTCTCTCTCTCTCTCTCTCTCTCTCTCTCTCTCTCTCTCTCTCTCTCCTCCCGCGTTTCTCCTCTTTCATTGCTTTCATTAACGATGACAGTTCAATTTCGATGCGACAGCCTCGACTTTTCGCGCGAGTTCGAAGGATGCACTTGGTATTTTTTTTTCTCGTGTTTAGGCCATTTTTCTTCCAATCGCGCGTTTCCGCGTGACGATGACTAGATTCTACACGAGCGTACGCGCTTTGCGTCAGCGTGGGTGTGTGTATGCGTGTCTTTGTACATGTATATATCTGTACGTGCGCATGTTTGTGTAGTCGTGTGTGCATATGCATGTGATGTCGATTGAATGTTATTCCTCCCTTTGGTGATCGTCAGATTATTTGGTTGCTTCAGCGCACGTTCGATCTTTGGTGTATTCTCGCTGGCAGTAGCTCAATATCCGCCATGGGGATGACGTACCAGAAGTGGCGAAAACCCCTGTCCATCGGGTAACCCATAAAAGTGTGATGAAAGCGAACGAATCAAGATATCCATAACGATGTTTCTTGATAAAGATACTCTCTTTTTCTCTCCCTTTCCCTTTCTCGATACTCTCCTCGTTTTCCTGGATAAGTATAGTACGATTTCGCGACTTTGTCCTTCCCCGAGGAGGAAAACTCGCGGACTACTGATGATTATAGAAAAGTGCGCGCGATAAAAAATGCATTACGATACGTTACCCTGAAGTTACGGGCTGTGTGACGATGTTAACTCGATTCTCCCCCATCCATGGAAGGTAAACGTCGCGGAAACGAGAGAGAAATAGAGAAAGAGAGAGAGAAGAGAAAAAGAGAAAGAGAGAGAAAGAGAGAAGGAAGAGAAAGAGAGCAAACGGTAAGTTCGATCTTGAGCAGATTAAACCTATTTTCACGAAGACATTCTCTTCTTTTGCTACGCGCGTTAATCTTAAAATCACAGGAGACACAATCGCGATAAAATGCATCCGGGAATCAATTGCGTCCTGAGAAAGGGATTAGTATTCATTATTCCGCAAAAGTTCAATTTGCGAGCTTGTAAAGCTTGTTCATCCGCGGAATTTCGGTCGAATACATATGACTAGAAATATGTGTGGCATTTATCATCATGTCTTCAATAACAAACGTGTCAGATAATTATAGTTATTATGTTGTGAGCATCTCGTTTCGTCAAACGTATCAGATTTAAATCAGATAGTCTACCTCTTTCAGTCTGCTTGGCCTTTGGCAAATTGAGTTAGAATCGTTCACGTTTAACATGCGTGAATTTAATTTAAAAAAATATCCAGAATATTTTTCTAACTTTCTTCGGTATTTGCTAAGAAATAGAATAAGAGGATACTTCGACTATTTTGTAATGACTTGTGAAAGACATAAGGTATGTGATTCAAATCGAATTCGCTTTTAAGCCGAGAAGAGCGAAAGAGAAAGGGGAATCTCGCGAGCCCGAATCTCGATCTCCTATTCGAGCTTTTGAGTTACAACTACAACAAGGGTAGATCGCAAGGCTCGTAGATCGATGGACACGGGAGGATCAATGGTGTTCGCGTTGGTGCTCGTCATCCCCGTGCGATCGCGTGACCCTTTCTCCTGCTACGATCCACTGTCCCGCGTGCATGCGCTCGGTACAGAAATCCTGAAAGTGGAACGTTGGGCGATTTGTGACCTACGCGATCAACCGCGATCGCGATCTCGTCGTACGTTCAGTCCATCATCATCATCATTATCATCATCATCATCGGTGTCGTAATGGCTCGCATGTAATGGCGAGCGCGATTACATGGCCCCGTTACGCGTTCGCGTGGAAAAGCGAATCACTGAACAAGCCCCTGGCTTCCGTGCGAGCAATCTGACGTGACCAGAAAGCTCGTCGTCCACCCGTGAGGATGGATATACCCTCCTGCGAGGGATTAGCTTCGTCAGCCATTCGTCCGCTCGGGCGATTCCTCGCCTCGACGGAGGCTTTCCGACGAGGAGGGTGTTGCGAACCCTTGCCGAACGGTTCGGCCGATCGTGGCTTTGGTGAAGATGCTTGATTTTAGAGGTCTTGGTCCGCGCTCCCGACGTCTCTGGACCATCACGATCACGATTACGTCGCTCCTCGCTTGCTCTTCGTCTTCCCACTGTGCTCCTGCCCGGTACTCGGGCTAGGCGGGCCGCTGCTATTCATTCTGGCCACTCTCCGGTAAATCTCGCTGTTGACAAAACGCGGATACGAGTCCCGGTGCATGAGGGTATAGATTTGTAGCTGCGCCTCGTCGAAGGTATGCGGCGTAGGCTCCACCATGTTGCGATTCACAATTTCTCGCACCCGCGAGTCCAAACTCACCTGCAAACATAAACGACAAAGAAAACGGATTAATTAAAATTTGTATCAGGTATGATTAACTACATGTATATAAAAATATTCTACGAAACTACTGCAACTCATTGTATCTTAATTTACAAGTCACTATTTGCATGCAATTTACATTCATTTCTCATAAAATATCTTTTAATTCTACAATGTTTCTTTCTCTCTCTCATAAAATAATAATATATAATAAAATTTATAAATTTGAAAAATTTTATTCTTTTAACTAATTACATAAATATAATTTTTTAGGAACAGACAGATCCATGGCCTCGAAGATGAAGCTAATATGTAAGTCTTTTAACCGCACTTTCGAAACAATTTTTCTTTATCACAAAGAATGGCGAAGCACCGATATATTCATAGTTATAAACAACGATAAAAAACTTTCCAAGAATTATAGACCATAATATGTGTACGACATACTTTTAACACGATCTTTTTTATATTATCTCGTAAAATGATCTAGGTGATTGCAATAATGCACAAACGTGTACTGTACAATTATGCCGTAATGTTCGAATGGCAAAAGAAGGTTCGTGCATTCGCCCCATTTGGGTGAATAAGTTGTTAAAGGGGTCACTGGGTCACTAGGTCAGTCGGTTAATATGGAAGAAATCAGTCACGCGCATTCGCAGCTTTTCTCAAACAAAACATTATATTGCAAAAGTCTCCCTTCACTTCAAACTGCATTTAATTTTACTGTCGCGTTTTTCTAATTCTTGCGCATTCGTACACTCGACTTTTTGCATCCGATAAAAAAAATGGTATAACTAGATAATACATCCAATGACATTATCGATTCTATCGTCAAAGCTAACAGCTCTGGAAGCTCTGGTAGGAATTATTTTATATTATGAAATGTGTAAGTGCTTATGATGCATCGCACGGGCTATTCAAAGTAGCAGATACTGATCGCATGACGCATACTGCGTATGCCATTATAAACTAAATAGATGGTTACGTTAGAATATGCTTATTATTTCCAGGTTGACGCTATCTCTACTTCAGAACCGGAATGTACCATAATAATAGAGCACGTTTTTTCCAGAAAATAAAAATAATTTCTTCTTAAATATCGTACTTTCAAACGTCATGTAAAATGGTTACATATATATTTTGCAATAATCATATATTCAGGATTCTAATATATCTATATATAATTTTATTATTCACCCTATTTTAGTATAATACATATGTCGTTATTCTATTCGAAAGCGCTATACTATTTTTTATCTTATGTTATTATAAGCAAAATTTTATTAAAGTTATCAAATGATCACAATTAGAAACGAATAATAACAGATAAAATTATCAATTCAAAAATACTTCACAATTGCTAAATAAATTTAAAAAAAGAAAACGTGAAAATATATTAAAAATATAAAAAATTGTTTCGAAATAGATAAATTTAATTATCGCTAGTAGATCCGAAACACCTGAGAAAAACTAACAATAAATCATAATCTTAATTCGAAGATGCCGCTCTAATTTCAATTATTGCCAATAATTATTGTATATACTCTCTAATAATAACAAAAATATCTTATATCTCTATTTATATAAAGGAATTATAATTATGCTACTTTATATAATTCTAGACGTAAATAATAGATCAGTGGTCATCTGCTGGCTGCTCCCGAGTGTTTCAATCGAGTTACGATTACGATTTCTTATCACGAGTAAGTAAGCATTTTCTTTACGAGTCAAGGAGAGTTTACTCACTTCCTTTGGCGAAAGTATGGATATGTAATCCTCGTAAATGTAGCGCGCCTTCTCCTCGATCGTCTCGGGATTGTTCTCCCTCTTGAGTTGCTCGCAGGCAAGCCAGAAGGCGATGTTCTCCTCGCTGTATTCGCTCACGAGAAACTCTCTGAAGAGCTTGCGGCCGGCGCCGCTCCTCATCAGTTTGTCGAAGGACGAGCCCCAGGCCCGAACCTCCTCCAAGCTGCAGCGCTCCAGACCGCCGTCGAGGCCGTCGAGTCCATCGAGACCGTTACCCGCACCTGCACCCGCGAAGTCGGTGACGCTGATGCCACTGCCGTGGTCACCACTGACACCGGCATTGCCCTTTTTCTTGCCCTGATCGCCCGCACCGCCGCTACCCGTCGAATTACCACCGACTGCCGCCAAACTAAGACGACAACGCACGTTAGAACTATCTTATAGGTCTCTCTATATCGTTAATAACGTGTAGGATTGTGCGAGACAATCGAGACTATTAAATAAACAGGCTGATGATTATAAGCTATTTTATTCATGTTTAAATCGCGTTTGAAAAAATAGTATTTATTTATAATTTATTATTATATTATGTAGATTTTAGTTATTACTGTATAATCGAAAGAATAACTAAAAATAATAATTTATTGCACGTTTCTTTTTGCATAGTTACTTTAATCTACTTTACGTTACAATTATAACAGGTGAGGGGTGGATCGGGGCTACCGATCAGAAATTTATCATAGATTATAATATCGATATTGATGTTGAAATTGATCGTAAACCATCGTATTAATTATAACGATAGTACGATAATATTACAGTGTGGTGATTTTTGTTTGCAAATATGAGGATGACGGAAGGAACGCAAACGCGAAAGTAATGATAGACAGCCGAGAATGAAGGAAGGCGAAGGAAAGATGTGTAAAAAATGAATATTAAACTTGATAGCCTCGGGAAATGAAGAGCTATAAAATGAGTGACGAAGGGAAGAGTATGATCCGGCGGACGCACACATACAGTAGAAAATGATAATGATTAACGATCGTCAGGATAGCTAATTTAATCCAGACTGAGGATAACGAGATACAAAGAGACGTGAACGAGTGGCATCGAACCGAGAGAAAATATTAGTCGTGTCGATAACAGGCACAAAACCGGGTCATTGGAAGGCCGATTCTTTGTGCTTGATGACGCGGTTGTCCTATGGCGTTTGCGAACCACAACTGCGGAAATAAACGGCGATTCTGAACGGTTTACGCGACTTGGTCAGAGATGGCAAATCACGAAAATGATTGGTTCTGTATCAGTTACCGTCTGATCGATCGAATTTATTTCTAAGTTTTTTATTTGAATGAATAAACGAAAATAAAATATTTGATAATTTTAGGATATTTCTCACGGACTCATTTGTCGTAAATTTTACAAAATATTGCAAGAGTCTACTTTACAAAGGTTGCTCCTCGCCCTGATGAAGTGAACTGCAACGTTCATGAAATGTTGGCAACAACAATCAAAACACGGCAATAACCCGCAAATTACGTAATAGTTTCTTTATTGTGAAAGAGTCTTTTTTTATCTAATGTTGTAAACAATTGTAAAACCAATTATTTGTAGACTTGTTATTCATTGAAATTTTACTTCAATAGCAACGATTTCTTTTAAAAATATGTCTTAATTATAATAACTATAATATAACTAATAAAATAGACAACTGCTGAAAATTGTAATTTTATTGTTACTTTTGAATTATACTGCTATGAATGCGTTTACTTTTGGGGGTTAAGGAAAAATATAACGTTGCGCAACATGAAGCAAATTTTATAATCCCAAAAATGAAGAAGATACATTTCAAAACATATATTTTTTGAAAGATTCCTTCACATTGATATGACGAAACAGTTAAGAGTATACCGTCGCATATTCCCGCGGTAGAAATTCAGGAAATGCCATTGCACCTCAGATACTCTTTCGGGTCGATGCCAGCCCAGAATGAGTAGGCTACTAGCGTATAATTTGTAAAGATGGCTCGCGTAGGAAGGACGCGTGGTATGTGCATAACCCCGTTTCTATGAGCCGTAATACGTGCATTACGATAGCATCACCATCGACATAATAAACAAGCAGCATTAACGCACAGTCCGTGGCCTGCTTACCATTTATTCCTACTTGTGGCATGAAACACAGAAAGGCAATATGTAGGTACGTCTGCACGGCAATAAATGGATCACACGCGAGAGTTTAAAGACAATGGACCGATATCGTTTCAATGGCGAGAGGTTCAGTAGATGAAGTAAGCACGAAAATAGCCTCGCGATAACGATAATAGCGAGTGGCTCGTTTTCATCTACCTTATGTTTGCGATTACAATGAAAACTCTTTGTGCCGACTTTTCAGTAACTCGCCATCGCGAGTACACGTAATTATAGAACGAGAAATTGAAGTCACTTCGTGCAATTCGGAGGTCTATTCTCTTCATTAACGATTTGTCCATTGTCGTATAAATCGAGTATTGTTCTTCATAATTTAATAAAACATTTCGTACATCGGTGCGTTGTCCGCTTCAAGAGTTAAATCAATGGCGGCGTTCAGCAGAAAAAGCAGCTTTGCAACTGTTGTAAGATTCTTTAATATGATTGGTTCTTGCACTTAGTTCCTCAATGGATTTAAATGTATAAACTAATCATATTAAAGAATCTTACAACAATTGCAACAGCTGCTTTTTCTGCTGAACGCAGCCAATGTAACACGTCATTGTGAAGGAAAACAACTCGAGATAGATTTTTAAATAATAATCTAAGAGATGACAAGATTTTTTATTCACATTTGATTAATAAAAGATTATTACGATTTTCTGTTTTATACATAAGCGATTACTAAAAATGTTAAATTAACGTTATAAGAGAGCGATAAAAAATACCGAATTGCTCGGCCTTCGTATCAGCAATTTTCTTTAGAATATTTTCTTTCGGTCGCATCGATGTACGAGCCATGATCTGACAGGATCGATAATACCACGAACAACTGCAGCAACAGCACCAGCATAGGCAACAGTTGTCCTTCTTCGATCGACCCGTGAATCCGGCCGTCTGACGTTGCTGTTGCTGCGATTGCTGCTGCGACGAGGGCGCCTGTTGCTGCTGCTGCTGCTGCGACTGCTGTTGCTGCTGCTGCTGCTGCTGAGACGACTGCGGATTATGCTGCATCGTGGACCCCGAGGCCTGGCCTTGGTTCTGTGCACGGAGGCGGCAACCACCAGCTACACCTTCGCCGCCCGTCCCGTGACTAACGCCGATTCCCATTGCGGTTGCACCAAGTCCACTCGACATCTGGAAGCGACATCCGCCCTCTGAATCCGCACACCACGTGCGAACGAGCTTATCCCGGTGCTAAGAATAGTTCTATTAAATCAGTGGCTTCCGGAACACAATGAACCACTTGTCGGCTTTGCGATTTGTTTACGCAAGGTGACTGACATTGAATTTTTTTAGAAACATGTTCAAATATAGACCAATAATATGAAGTTTTTTAAATATTAGTATTGTGCACATTTAGTACACATATTTATATATTATAATTTCATTTTATATAATAATCCAATTGTCTCTATACGAAAGTAATAGTAATTTTTTAAATATCAATATGTATAATTTATCATTAAGATATAAATAGATATTTTTATTGTGCAAGATGAAGGAAATCATAAAAATCGCCAAAGTAATTCAGATCAATTTTGGGAGGAAAACAGAATCATTAAGTATACGCTAAAAGTAGATTTCAATTAAGCATTTAGCATGAAAATCATGACTATTAAATTCCCATATTTAAATAATAAATCCTAAGAAGAGAACAGGACAATTTACTCACTGTGGCAATACGATAAAGTTAAGCTTTAGTCAAAATAAACTAGTACGATTGACACGTAAGCTTTCAAAAAGCAACCAATTAGTTCGGATACGATTGTCGTACGCTCAGCTGCACGTATCGATTGGCTTGTATTTTCAGCGCGATCCGACGATGGCGATATCGAAGTGAGAGATGTAGCCGGAGATTTATTATTCTTCCGTTCGCTGTTCCGTTCGAGGTCTTTGGTATTTAAAATTCATGATCGCCAGACGGCTGAGCTGACCGATATTGGATTCCCGGAGAAAGTCTAAGGAGAGGATTAAACTCTTAATGCCATATTTAAGAACGCGATCTCAATTCAAAATCTGTATTTCCGATCGTTTTTCAAAAAGTTTAGACGTTTCTCAATTGCAGTTCTGTTCATAACATTATTGGTTTTAGAATAAATCAATAATTTAATTTGTTTTTGCATTGATACTTTCTTCTTTTTCTCTTTTTTTTTTTTTAGGAAAATTACGCAAGAAACATTATATAGCGATTACAAATATCAAGAGAATCACTAATATTTTATTGTACTGATAAAAGTCAAAAGTATTTTAAAATAAAATATCATTAAAGATCAGCTTTGATGCAGTTTGCATACAGTTCGGAATTTTCTTTGCATCTTTTCCTGTTCCGTCAAACAAAAGAAAGGGACAAACGAATGAAATTCTGAGCGCATGAATTTATTCCAGCCAGCGTTCGAATCTCGTGAAAATATATTCAACGTGGCTTTTGCTTATTCTCTCTCGCAATATAAAAGAGATTCGCGGAATGAAGTTTGGATATATGTCTGCACATGCACGTAGCCGCGTGCGGCCCTTTATTTTTACACCGTGTTGTATATCGATGACCCGCTCTCCGATGCGGCCTCGCGCGATAACGACTACATCGGACAGTCGCTTATAGGGGATGTGGGAAGAGGTTGATAAACAGCAGGCACTGGCGTAAAGTGTACACGTGTATTCGCGAATAAACGTGGTGGCGCATACGAATGAAGCCACGTGAAGATGAGAGGAGGAGAGAGCAAGATGGGAGAAAGAAAGAGAAAGACGGATATGAAACAATTGGGAAAGGAAATTGAAATTGGACAATCAGAATCGTAGAGATTGGAAAGGGGATCGTTGTTTAATCGTTTATAGCGCGATATAAATCGGACGCGGATTTATACGAGCGTGGCGATTTAGAGTGGTCAGGAAATAGAAGCCGGAAATCGAAAAGACCACGCGCAAAACCGCGTTTCGAGCGACTGGTTCGTAAAACACACCACGCGGTTTATACACGAGGCGAATTCCGTATTTCGTATCTCGCGGATCATCTTTCCAAAAACGAGACTTCGATTACGAGATAATATAACGATCTAAATTTCAATAATCTCTCAGCGATTTGTTTTGGCAGGCATTATGGAAACAAGAGCCGTTGTTTACGGAGAACGCTGCGAAATTTAGGAAACACTTCGTACTAGATGATTAATTGTGATCTATGGATTTTGCATAAGTTAGTTTCAAGATAGCTGTGTACAGCTTGAATATAATATCTTATATTACCAAGCCACATATCCGTAAACGCGCGCGTTACGAGACTAGTTTTTAATAAAATATAATTAAATAAAGACAATTACATAAAAATACTATTGTTAATTAATTTATATTGATTTTGTAATGCTTGCTAAAGAGATTAAATCTCCTTGGTAATTAATAATTAATTCATTAATTTGATAATTAATAATGCAAATGAGAATAATAAATAAATTATTTGCGTTCGTTAATTATTATCGGGTCATTTTCAATAGTCGTTAATAAACAAATAGCACTTGTATAGGAGTATGTATTTTGGCACGGAAGGTTATTGACATTTTTAATACAATTTTGAACATTATTAGTTTCTTCTCATCGCGCGTATTCTCAGATGCAAATACTGTCGCTGTGTTTACAACGGTTCTGAAACGGCGATAGTGTTTACGCATAGCTGCGTGTCAACATGTCAATGGCCCAATGGTGTGTTGGCTACATGCAGCACGCAATCACGGAGCACGTGCAAGCTGCAACCCCCGTTTCTCTTCTCGCAAGCTTCGTCCGATAATCCCATGAATTTATTTCGATCCGAACAAGGGTGTATGCGTATATCCATATATAAATGAATTTGTTATGTCCCTACGTGAACATTGAACGAATAGCAAGCTGCAGATATTTCGAGCGAGATTCTAATCAACGATAATAGAGTTCTTGTTCATGTTATTACAGTACACTATTTCAGAATTAATTTGCAATAATTCAATTCTATACTGGAATAATTTAAACACGGTTGAATGCAATCGGTTTTCAATATTCAATTCAGCCACATTGTTTATTTGCATGTTAATAAATTAGAAAAGGTTTCGTAAACTCCGAAAATATGACCGTTAATTAAGTTATAAATTACGTAGAAATTTTTATATTGTTATAGTTTTGTAAACTTTCTGTTTCACGGAAATTAACTATTCATCATGTATACACATTTATATGAGGAATATCATTGCTTTTCGTGTCATAAATCGAACTGGCTGCTGCAGTCATACTACATCTTTCAGGGGAAGATCAGCGCGACTCCATTACTGTTCCGTGCTGAGTCTTTAATCCTTTCTTAAGACAGACGTAACGATTACGAGTAACGTTCACGTCTTGACTCTTACCTCTATCATGTTCCATGCGTCCGAAAGCGAGCCCAGCTCGCTTTCCGCGTCTTCAGGATGAACCTAATCGGCGCGTGACCGGCGCGGCGCCGAGACGCGGGGGTGCGGGTGCGGGCACGGCCGCGGGCGCACCGTGCCCGCGTTCGCGAGTGTCCCTTCCGATATGCGGTCGTTCCTTTAGCCCGGTCCTCCCGCGGAGCCGCCTCGCCGGGCCTCGCCCGAAACCCGCATGCTCCCAGCGCGCACCAATGCTCCTCAGCCGAAACCGCGTAACAGCCCAGCGTACGAACCCTTCACGGACTCGCGGACGGACACATAGGTACGCGCACTACCAAGCGATCAGCCGCCAAACGGTTTCCTCGCCTCGAGATCGGGCGAGGCGTTACTACGCCGACGATGATGGCGACGTCGCGCGACGACACTGAACAACGGCGGACCCCAACAAGCGGAGGGTTACGTCGTCGATGTCGCGCATGATATTTCATCCATTTCCCACCGTCTTCCACTTTCCGCTGCTGCCGATTGTCCCTCGTTTTTCTCTCGACAATCCTCTTCGTTAATACCACCCGCGCCACGATACCACTCCACCACCGTCACCCTCTCGCGGCACCCTCCACCCTTCTCTCTTAACGGGACAGCCGCGCGCGCGGATCGACTGGTCGGTCGGCCGAGTCGGAAAGGTAGGAGAGAAAGGGAGAGAGAGAGAGAGAGATGCAGAGAGAGAAAGAGAGAGAGAGGCGAGAGTGCGCGGATGCGAGACCCGCTATTGAAAGGAACAGGAAGTAGAGATCCTTCGCTACCGATGGCGATTGCTCTCAAGGATGAACGCGATACGATCGAGCGAATTCGTCGCGTTCCATTGAGATACGCGGTCCCGTATCTTGGACTCCAAAAATTCGGTCAACCAACCGAGACGAAATCCTTGAACTTTAGGGCGATGACAACGACGACGACGTTGATGACAGTAAGGACGTCGCACGCGATTGACTCATCACATCTTTCAATTACACGGTTTTAAAAGGAGTGGCTGCGTCGCGCCGTGCCACGCTCTTGGGTTAACGCCAACCTCACGTCGACATCTCTTTTCTTCGCGGCTGACCTAGGTAGCTGTACACGATGCCGCAGTTTTCGTTCCCCGTTGCGTTTGACGGAATTATAAATAGATACTCGCGCCTGTTAAAGATGTTGCGCGAGACGCTGGCACGGCCAGGTTTAAATGCCTGCGCTGCTGTCGCTGGTTCGGACCGCTGCTGACGCTACCGCTGTGTCTGCTTATGTTCCTGATGCTGTTGATTGCGTTGACAGGTGCCCGTCCCGCGTATCTCGCACACGAGAGTGCGGAAGAAGACGCAGGGAAGAGAGAGATAGACAGGAAAAAGAAAAAGGTAGGAAGAAAAGGGAAGATGATGAAACGAATCAGAGAATGTTAGCGTGTTTGATTAAGCAGGAGAGGAGCGTTGAAAGTAAGAGCGTGAGATAGTGGGAAGATAGATGAGGCAAAGAGAGACGGAGAGGAGAGAGAGAGAAAGAGAGAGAGAAAGAGAGAGAGAGAGAGAAAGAGAGAGTCTCTCTCTAGGAGATTGGAGCGTAAGTGAGCCGATGCGCCGGTTATTGATTGGCAGCAGTGAAGACCAGAGGGAGAGACGAACTCGCACACTGTCACGCCGGCAAGGTAGACTGCTGAAGGCTATCTTCGTGCCAGCTTCTCGTCGATTGACCGCTTGGTATCCTGTCGGAAGACTTCCGACAGATCGAGCGTTAATCCTTGTCTCCGCGAAATCGGAGTTGGATGGAAAAACTTCTTAGGAAGATTGGTTTCAGGAAGAGATTTGAATTTATTGATAATTATATTGGAAGTCGATTCTTTTCTTGCGTGAACAAGATGCAGTCTCTATCGAGCACATAGACGTTACTTTGTAGAGATTTTTCGTCGGAAGTGAGAACCGAGAAATGTGATACAATGGAAGCGTCGCAGAATCCGACGCGAGAGTTTGCGGACGAAAGTAATCTTTGAAGGATACAATCTGAGAGAGATATACCCGTAACAGGAAGATCGATATTGATATTTGGATGCACCGCCGCGATTGATCGCTGCGATTCTCCCTTGCTTTGATTTAAGTCACGCGTATCCGGAACACTTGTCACTGCTATGTCCGCGTGTTGTATCTTAGCCTTATCTTTCTCTCTCTCTTTCTCTTTCTCTCTCTCTCTCTCTCTCTCTCTCTCTCTAGCTCTTTTTCGCTGTTTGATGCGGCGTTCGAAGGCGTATCCGGTATTATCGCGTGTCCTTTCCTCGCCGCCTCTTTTTCCGCACAGGGATCGCTCGCCCTCTCTCCACTTTATGTGCTTCTCCCGTTATTATGACCGTGCCGACGCGGGCAATGGAAGAGCAACCGCGGAAGCTTTAAAGCTCCACGACCCGCGAGGTGCTATCGTCCGGAGTTCGGCCAATATGGCGATTACACGCGCTTACACGGTGCCTTGGCCACCACTGTCTGCCCGTTTCGCGGACGATTCCAGCGACGCCGACGCGAAGCGCCGCGACGCGAAGCTACCTAGCGTTCCGCAGACGCCGCGCCGACGCCGATGCTGTTACCATCACAGAACGCCGACTCCGAAGCTGATGCGATGGTCGAGCCATCGGCCGATGTACGAGTACTGCGGTGACGGCAGCGATGATCGTACTCATGATCCTTGTGTGCGAATGACCCGCCGATACTCTCATGATCCTTTGTTATTACGAAACGTTCCCAGACAACACATCTGTCCAGAAACGAGGCATAAGATGTTTTTAAGATATTTTTTAAAACTGTTTTAAAGACGTTTTAAAGATATCTTTAAAATGTCTTATGTCTCGATTTTGAACTTTTCGTTGTCTGAGTTGTTACAACTATAATTCACCACGATCGCAATTGTATAAAGGATCGTAATGAAGGAAAAATATGTGTACATCATCCGTGGCACTGAAAAAAAAACCACTTAAAAATTTATTTGCGAGGTATTATATTTATTTTACTAAAATAAATCCTTATTTAAACGATGAAATAAAATTTCATAGTAAACATAAATTTCCTAGTAAATAAACCATTTATTTTATTTCTTTTTACAATTAATGATATATTTCATAAAAATGTATTTCGTCGTCACAGTAAAATTTTTTTATAATATCGCAAAAAATGTCACATATAATATTTACTTGCGAATATTTTGACTTTTTTTCTTACAAGGGAAGTCTTAGAACTGTCCGGAATCGATTTGATTCTCCATGAAATATGTTGTTAAATACAAAAATCTAAAAAAAGACACGTATTTTTTTATACATGCGCTAACTCATGTTTAAGAGATGAAGCACTTCTTTGGGAGAAAAAAAAAACTGTATTTTTATTTCGAGCCAAATACCGTCGGAAGTATAAATTGTTAACAAAATGATTAACAAAACAATTAACAATTGTTAACAAAAAATTAAAAAATTTTTTTTCTTCACAACATTGAAGTACTCTTGAAACCGTACAACTTTTGTTTAAAAAATTTTTTTCCATCTTTTATACTTCCGACGGTATTTGGCTTGAAATAGAAATACCGTTTTTTTTTTTCAAAGGAGTGTTTCACCTTTTAAACGTGTTAGCGCAGGTATAAAAAATTAGTGTCTCTTAGATTTTCGTGTTTAACAACATATTTCATGGAGAATCGGTTCCGGACAGTTGTGAAACTTCCCTTGTTAGTGTGTAATTTGATAGACAAAAATAAAGAACAGCGTAGAATAAAGCGGAAGCATAAAGTAAATCGGAAACATGCCGAAATGTTACGGTAAAATGATATCTTAATGATAACATTAATAGGTATGATAGGATTATCAACAGTAGACAGATAAATGTATTTTTATTTTAAGCACAGAGAGAAGATTATAAAATAAAAGCTATAAGAAAATATATTTATTTAATAGAAAACGAGTACGAACTCAGCTAACGCTAAATATTCACTGAAAGTTCGATTTGTATTACTAATGTACCAAATGTTCCAGAACAGTAAAAGAATCATTACAGAATGTGCAAATCTCGATAAAATGTTCAGAATATTGTGTGAATATTTCTTGTATATTTCACAAAAATCGTGAGCGAGCGAGTAGTGCACATCTCCGCCGATAGATAGCTGCAGCGAAGAGCATTTACTCATAAACAAGAATCACCTGGAAGAGATTATAATAGCGAATTCTCGATTGGAACTTGGAAGCATTAGTGCATACTGAGCGCGTCCATCAAATTCGCTATAAGTCCGTGAAGTGAAATTTGGAAGATCTTTTGTTTCATATTAAATGTTGCTTATTTAAATCTTTTACTCCGCTGCCTTCATAAGATGTGCTCACTTCAGCTCGTTCAATCTGCCTGGTTTTCGCTTCGTACGCTGAAGAAACCCACCTTCATTTTTGATCCTACATGTCATAATTTAAAAAAGGGGACGGAAATTTTACATTGTTATTTACAAAACGTAAGTAACCAAATAAATTTGTACTGTTAAATAAAAAAATTTTGTTCATCTCTCTAACAAAAAAATATTATATTTTGTATATAATTTTAACAAAATAATCCAATGATAATCGGCCATTTGTGAATAATTCTCTTTTTTTGTGTTACCAATACTATATCTTTTTTCTCAGTGCGGTCGGATAGATGCTATTAGTATTCGCGGCAATATATAATATATTCGGCTGAAATTTTACATTGAAAGTTTGCGCCATTGATGCAGAATTCTATTCTTTTCAACTGAACTTCTTGTACAATTTATGATTTTGCACAGTTATAGTGTTTTATGCCGATAATCGAAATAGATTGTCACTATAAATGCTGAAATGTTACTGTCCATCGTGAAAAATTTATTAATATTAAATTTTGATTACTAAGCAATGTTGAAACTGTATTGCAAACAACTCTACAATCGGTCAATTATTGCTTTTTTTTATCTATTTTTCTTTGCTTTCCCTTTTTTTAAAGAATTTTAGGAAATTTGTACTGATATTCGATCGGACAATTGCCTTACTAGATATCCGACTGGATTTTGGACATCCGATGCCACATTCTTTTTGGATATCCGATATCCGGTAATTTTACGATCCGGTGCATCCTTAATAATTATGTTATTACTACATTCATTGCTATAATTATATTATTGTTTATTTGCGACATTGTAACTTTTAAGATAGAAAGATTCGCGGTATTCAAAATTATCACTGTTTTTTTCTCCCCGTCGGAGAAATCAAATTCTTTCTCACTAGAAATTCTTTGGATTTAATATCAATCTTTTATAATTTCAAGTCATTGTTAATGCTAAAACAAGAGTTCTTTTAATGCATGGCATAATAATGAAATTGTAAAACGTAATACTATTTTTAAAAATTATTCAATTTTTGTTTCATTTACTCAGTAAAAATTTCGGGGAAAATTGATATTGAAGACGCGGAGAATTAAAACTATCAGTTCTTAATAGGAAATTATCTTTCTCTCGATGAACTTTAAATATTCTTATATAAAGCACAGTTAATAATAGATTAATAAACAGCTAATAATAAAAGTGATATAAGAGAACTAGAAGAAAGCGAAAGCAAAACGCATTTGTGGTAACGACGATGTGAGGATATTTTTGCAAAATATGGATATAAGGCTCTTTTATAATTATAAATATCATCACATTCTGAAAGGAGGCGCCTGTACGCAAAAATAAATAGACACAAGCATCGTCGTCGTGGTGGTCACAAACCCATGCTTAGATTTTTATGGAAATCTCCTGTTATATATTTTAGGGATATAACGTTTTCGCGCGTGGAAAATCTCATTTTCCTTCCCCTTCCCCCAACCGCCGTCCTTGGCACATCGCCGTTTTAGCGGCTTTTAAGTTAAGTAGTTCCGCGTTTGTGGTGCGAGAGCGGAAATTTCTCTCGCGCTAAAGTACATCTTCTCCTTCCGATCGCGGTGCGGTATCCGATCGATCATACGACCGCGGCCAATACCAGACATCATCCCTCCGTCAGTTTTTTCCATCTCGCGTCTACGTAAGGAAGAGACGGGCGACGCGCGCGAGCGTAAGGGAATGTCTGAACAGAGGTAGAGAGATCAATACGGCGACGTCGGCAGTGGCCCGATGCACCCCATCGTTCCTAAATTGCGACTCGGATGCAGATGCAGATGTATCTCCGGTTGCTCCCGTTGAATGATCCGCGCTCGTCCGTGTGCGAGGCGGCCTCCAGCTGCATGATAACGAAGTGACGGGGCGCTGGAAGTTAATTTCAGACCCGCGTCACGGAACGTTACACATGGTAACACCGAGCGGAATGTAAATGAAGGTTGCCGTAGTGGCGAATGCCGCTGCGCGCTGGTACATCTCTCGTACTCTCGGTAGGGAACCAAGAATGCCGACCCAGAACCGAAACTGGTTCTAGGAACAGTCGGTTTGGTCGACTGCTTGCTTATCGGCTGAAGTAGACTTCTGATATCAGTGTTTTTGCCTTAGGTATACTAGCTCTGCATTTACGCATATTCCGGCGGTGTTTCTAAAGATATAAAGCTACTAGTGACATTAAAAATCTTATTCATATACATTAGTATCATTCGTCAATCTCTTGGAATAAAATATTATTAAAAATATTACAAAAATTTTGATTTTCAGAGTAATTTTTATTTGTATTCTTTACGTAAAGGTGATAAAAAATTCCACATAGACTTATCTAGAATCAACCTGATCTTTTTTAAAATCAATATAATCTTGTTCAATGTTTTTTAGAGGTCAAATATAATAAGTGATTGTATTTATGGCTATACGATTGGAATGCATTTTTCTGGAGTCTATACAAACTTAAAAACGGTCAAAATTTATGACCACGTCACGCGTAACTAATCCATTTAATCTTTTTTTCCTTTGTCAAGAAGTTTTCTGGCATCCAAAGATTTTTGAATGCATCACTTTCTCTTCATAAATACAGTAGTAAAGTTTAAAAGAATTATGGGTGTCAGCTCAGGTAAAGAGACCTTCAAACATACATCCATTAGACCTTTTTAAAGATACTTCGAAAAAGGATTTGAAGGATTTTCATACAGATTCCCTCCTTCCTTGCTTTTTCCAACTCCACCATTCTTACGAACCAATTCGCCTCTAGGATAGCGTTGTGAACACGTGTAGGAAGGGAGGTGCCACTTTCTGGGATGTCGAGGGCTCGTATGCTCCTTGTGTAGGCATATCTATGTAAGACAGACTCTACACACACACGTACAAACGGGTCTATCGTCGCCAGCTGTTGGTGTGTAGTGGGCTGTTGGGAGTATGGTGGGAGGGAGGGGAGTGAAAACAGGCTCGACTGCTCCCCCTAATACTGGAGGATTGAATGGGCGAGGAGGGTGGTATTGGGTTCCCTCACGCTACCACCCACACACCACTGCTCCCAACCCGCCTGAGCCACCCACTTCTGCCCGCCACCCCGCCTGCCACCCACTCGCCACCCGACAGCCGTCGAGGAAACAACCTGCAACCGAACCAGCATAACGTTTCCTCGAACAACGATTTTCGTTAGTATCTTGCACTTAGTCTGCATCAACGACACAAAAAGGTGAGTTATTTAACGTAGTATTTTTAACGTCTTTCTTCATCCGAGACCAGTGTATCTTGACGCGTTGTGTGCCGTGAGTTGTCCACATCGTGTTCGCGTCATCATCGTCCAGCGTCAATACGACAGCAGATCTCGGTGTCTTCCCCGAGGATATTCCTCTAGGGACCGTACGTTGCTTCACTTCTTCTATCGGAAGTACCGGGTTGCGCGCCGAAAACGAACGATCGAGTGGAAATACAAAAGTGAGACGATGAGAAAAGAAGATGTGAAAATTAACAGCGAGTGAAGAACCGAATGTGAGTACGACTACGAGTGTTAACAAGTTGTGGCGCGAACGAGAGCAAGAGGAGAGACCGCCGCCGTGGCCGACGTATTGTGTATCGCGAATAGGCCGCACGCGAATACCCATCGAGACGCGCGGAGCGCGCGGCTATATGTGCGACGTCGAGACGTCCGTGTGTTCGTCGGTGTTTCGACGGGTAGCGCGCAGTGAGGCAGACGGAGAGAGGTGCCGGGTGTCCATGTGTGTTCTGGAGGCGCGCGTGTGCGCGCGGGGGCGGCCATTCGCGGGTGCTCCGCGATATCGTATACGTGATGTTGAGGGCGGCCAACAGGCCGGCGGCGTTCGCCGCTACGTTTTCCGCGACGTGTACTAATAGCAACGACGATTTTGCGCGTACCGCCGCGTGTAGAAAACGTGCAGTAAGCAGGGACGAAAGAGCGAAGAGAAAAGAAGGGATCTTTCAACTCCACACGAACGATCGTGCATGCGTGTGTGCAATGGCATTACGTATGTGTGCACGATTGTACATGTGCACGCGCGGACGCGGAGGAGACCTGCCTGACGTCCTTGGTTAGCCGGCAATAATTTCCGGATGGATTTGAATGGAGCACTGCGCGTATCTTTTCTCTCTCTCTCTCTCTCTCTCTCTCTCTCTCTCTCTCTCTCTCTCTCTTTCTTCTACTTTATTTTCTTGATTATTTTTGTTTTCTCGTTCTCTCTTTCTTCGTCTATCCATCTGATTCTCTCTCTCTCTCTCTCTCTTGAAGACTGTGTCTTTGCCTTTATTCCGACCGACCATGTTCCCGCCGCTGTGTCATCTCTTTCTTTTCCCTTCGGGTTTCTTTATTCCTTCTCTCTGCGCCATAAAATGGAGGTTCTCAACCAGCGTAGAAATGTAAAGTTTCAATAGTACGTTCTAGAACACCCTCTACGTTCCACCATCTGTCGTTTCTAGAGGATGTGGCCCCGATCAGTAGAGGGGCATATTGATTTATTCTTCACAGTAACCCCTTCCAACGTTCTTGCTTCCCCTTCTGTGTACATATACGCGACTGATCTTGTACATGCGCACGCACACATAGTACAGGGTTACCAGCAGGGTTGCTGGTCATCCCCTCTCAGTTCCGTGAACAGCAATCGTGACGATCAATACAGGCTTCCTCTTTCCGGATACTGTCGCCACCCCAACAGAATATAGTGTTAAATACTTGTGCATGCTCCACTCGATCGAAATCAATAGAAGTTACGGTATTTATGAAGATAATAAATGGTACCAATTAGAGTACAGCAAGAGGTATTAATAAATCCGAAACAAAAATTACAAATATATCTACAAAGAAAATAGAAAAAATAAAGTTTGAAAAATAAAATGTATAATACTACTTCTTTCAAGTAATTCTTATTAAAAAAAATCTTAACATAATAAGAGAAATAATTATCTTATTGAAGATAAAGATATATAATTCAAAGAGATAAATTTATAATTTTTACTTCAATTGATAAACATTATAAAAAGTTTAAAAATAATTAATAAAGAGTAGCATTCATTATTCTTTAAAGAGAAATTACAAATCACTTTCGTTTATTTATGTATTATAATGCATAATAATTGTAAGCAAGCAGAAAACTTTTTTTGTATCATATGAGATATCATTCAGAATTAAAAAAAAATTTACAACTAATGAGATCAGTTGATTAATGTAAAGAAAAATCTAATTGCAATTTCACGTTACAAATAGGCATTCGTGAAAAAATTAACGTTAACAAAAAGTTAGACATCATTATGCTTTTAAACTTTTTCCCATGCCATATTTCTCTATTATCGATCGTAAGAGAGATATGGTCCGATATGGGGAGATGTGGCTCGAATCGCGTGACTCACTTTATATATCGTTCAACTACTCTAAATCTAATTTTGTAGCAACATATAAAAGTTATTAAGATACTCGTTATGAAATTTTGCACATTATTTTGATTTCTCTACTATACTTATTTTCCACATTTACACTTTATGAAACACAGCTTCGATAATTCAAATATATTTATCCTCTATTTATGATATGCACGAAGAAAATATGCTCCAATACTGGCATAATGAAGCTTTACGTTCTTATTCTCTTGTCATTATAATTTTTATTTAACTACTCGCCAAACGCAGCGATTCACTTCAAATCTATAATTTAAAACATTTTACATATTAATAATTGTATATTAATGTATTTATTAATTATTAAAATCTGTCATATTTAATATTGCCATAATGTTTATAATTCTATTATAATTTTATATATTTTCTCCGCATTTACGCTTTATGAAACACGCTTTATAATTGTTTTAGATCATAAAAGAAAAGTCGTTGAGTAATTTCTTGTATTCATTCTTCTATACTCTCATTTAAACACATAAAAATAAACAAAGGAAAATAATATAATCAGTTTTTGTTTTCATCAAGGTTATTATTGTCATAATCAAAACAATCAAATGTTTAAACTTGTTATCTGAAGATACGGTAATATCTCGGCGCGCTACGCGATTTTTAGGTTTACCCGTAACTGTGAAAATTATAATAATATTCAAAGAGAAAATTACGAATGTTTAGAATATACAACTTCGAGATTTAGCATTTTCCACGCTGATTCTTCGCAGTCTTTTCGCATGCATCGGTTGCCGGTGAAATATAAAAATTTGTCTATACAATGTACTAATATAGTATTATGAAAATTAATTTAAACAAAACACAATACAAGAAAATTTATATATTCATTATTTATAATTATATACAAAGGACTGTTAGTTGAAAAATGATGAAAAGCGATCAGTATCTTTAAATATTGGAAAAAAAAGAATGAAATCGCATTTACAGAAAATATTTCTAGCGATGATATTCAATAAAATTTGACTCGTCATATATCGCACAAAGTTATTCAGTATAATCAAATAATCGCGTTACCACAGCTGAGAATTTTTCCAGATTTAAATCCAATATAACGCTTGTGAGCAATTTGTAAAAGAAGATTGTTGTAATTGGATTATTTTATCGTAGGATAACAAATTTCACGATTATGTTGAGGATAAAAAAACGGCTCTGATAAAAAAAATATTTTGAAAGTGTAAAAGATTTGTAAAATTGTGCACAGAAAAAAAATTTGCAGATTTTAAATAAATATTTACTCCAATAGTACTAACGAAATATTTACTAAATGTAAATATATATTTATTCGATTTAAACATACTGTCTTATTTTGAATAAATATTTATTTACTATAAATAAATATTTCGTTAATACTATTGGAGTAAATATTTACTTAAAATCTGCAAATTTTTTTTCAGTTGTGTGTAAATAAATAAAATTAATAATTCTCAAAAAATGATATTCTGAGAAAATTATGAAACGTAAAAATCGTAAACTGAGCTATGAGCTCATCATATGTACATATCCACGAATCATGCAAAAAAAATCTAATTGTTAGCACGGAAGGGACTAGAAGAGAAATTCTTTTTGTTCAGGTCCATGGTATCCCACGCAGGTCTGTTTTGAAGAATTAAGAAAAAGGTTCTTATTCTACAAACGTTGAGTGACCATTGTACAGCTTGAAAATGGAAGGAAACGGCACCAGAATAGACTATGAGGATATGTTTAGAGAAATTACGAAGAAACTGTATGGCGATGATCCTGATCATAGAAGTAAGATTTTATGTTGAATTTTCTAGAATAAGTTAAAAATAATATCATTTTACTGATTATCGAAATATTACCAGTTATTGATTGTATTTGTTAAGGCAAAATAATATCGGGAAATCTTCAATAGAAATAATTAAAAAATTTATTTATCTATATAATATATCCAGAGTAAGTTTTCAATAAACTTTTTTTTTACGTAACATGTATGCATCATATGAATGTAATTGGAATTGTGTTCATATTTTCTATTGATCATTCACAGTTATTTGATTAACTCATTATCTAAATATTTAATTGTTTAACGTTAACTGTGTTCAGCAATAAAAAAAATTTCATTTATAATTGGCCATTTAATTAAACGTTTATGAAATTATATTTTTTCTCACTAGTTATTCTCGCATGATAATTAATTATTGATTGATAGTTTAACGAATGCACTATGGGATGACCAGCCTGAAAAAATTGTCAAAATTCGATTTCGGAAAATAGCATGAAAAAATATTGTATAATAAAATGTAGCTCTTCTTACAACTTTTTCCAAAGTTATAATAGTTAAATAGTTACCGTCCATATAGCAACCATTTGAATTTTTTAAATGTAATTTTTATATTATTAATTTTCTTTGCAAAGAAAATCGTTAAGTTTGTTATATATTCAAGAATAAAATACTGTTAATTTATCTTATTTTATTCTTATTTTTCTTATTTTAAGATATAAACTTTAAAATCACATTAGAACTTTAGCAATAAATCGAACAGTACTTCATTATTTTTTAATATACTGTACAATTAATATACAGTTTTACAATTATGAAAGCTCTTTCGAAACTCGATAACATGCAATTGATGAACATTTTGATGAATATTTCTGAAGAAGTAGAAGGAATCGTAAAAAAACAAAACAATATTCTCCTTCTAAATAACAAAGTTATTGGGTTTTAAAGTTTTCAACAGAATTTTTTTTCTTAGTGTATTTTAATTGTTCGCAATCCTAAAGAGTGTTTTAAATTTAATTAAATTATTCTCCCACTCCGATTTCTATTTAAATTTGTCTAAATTTTTATAATTTCTGAAAATTCATTTTTCTCTCGCCATTTTTTCCCCTATAAATTATGTAAATAATTTCTTTAGCGTTATTATTTATTTTTAAAATATTATAGGACTGTGAAATAGTATATTTGATAAAAATATTTTTTTAGTAAAAAAAGATGCACAAACGAAACAGGCACGTCCGTACAATAGCGTGTCGCTATGTTTCTTTAGGGGTGCATTCCACTGCAGCACTCATAACGATCATAAACATCATTTGATAAATTACTAAATTTTAGATGTGCTATATTGGAATTTGCTATAGAGTTTTTGATATTTTCATCTTAAGTTTATAATAAGTAATCCAAAAATCTGGTAGAAACAAATATAAAGCAATATTAAGATAAAATTACTTTTTACATCTTCGGCAATATTAGATGCTCCATTTTTATTTAATTTTGTAATTTTGACTTTGGATTTGTATTAAGTAACCTCAAAAATCCACAAAAATAAGTTAATATTAAAGTAAGACTATTTTTTTTTGTATTTCGGTCTGCTATTTTAAGTTTTGTATATCTGACTTCACAGATTCTCGAGCCAAATGGTTATTAAATATATCTTTTAGTAACAAATTAATTAATTTTCGAATTATGACTACTTTTTCTGACATCTTAGCTAACTATGAAATGTTTCGTTTTATAAAAAAAATCATGAGTTTCACCATTAAAGGGATTCTAAAGGCATTCGTGTGTTTTATCGATTAAACATAATAATTTTCATAGAATGATATCGCAATCCATTAGTAATGGATCACGATACGGTGATAACCCTTGGTACTTCTGATATTATCGCATATATTACTTTCACAAATTTGAAAATTCTTTCTCAAAATTATACCCATTATTCTAGTTTGTAGCGCGAAATTTATGTTGAGTAGCAAAAATTTTTTAAATTGAGTTCTTTTTTTATCATTTTTTAATCCAATTTAATGTTAAATCATCTGTACCAAAATTTGCTTGATATAATAAAATCTCTGGAATCTGTATTTACAAAATATGAGTATCTATTTTTATACGATATTATTCTACGAAAATTTATATACATGTGTGAAATATTGATGTAATATGTAGTAATGTATCGATAATATGTAAATCACGAGTAAACTAGGGTATTATTGTACGGAAAAGATGGCCATAAGCTGTAATTTCTTCAATAATTGCTAAATAGAGCATTTTTGTATTTATTCTAAAAGCCTATGGTCATCTTCCTTGTATGGCCATCTTATCCGAATTTACCATATGTGTGAAAGTTGTAAGTTCTATTGAATCGGTAAAATAGCGATTCTGTCGAGTTTACTTTAAGATCTCTTTAAATGCGAAGAGTTTAATATAATTTATCATAATTTCGTCGTTAACAGCATCGAACGTACAAAATGAGTTCGAAGCATCAGTTTCTTATAAAACCGAAGAAGATACGGGAAACGGTACCGACGGTAGTGATGATGGAAATTGGACGTACGAGGACGAACCATTGAAAGGAACCGACGGAAGTCGAATTGCAGCTTACCACGCCGGAAAAGCCATGTGGCGATGTGACGAGTGTGGTAAGTACACACGATTTACATACATTGTTAAAAATGTTCTTACAATAATGTGCAGCGAATGAATTTAAAGACACGGGTGTATCTAATGAACGTTGCATAAACCTACCTGAAAAATTTTTTGCGAGGCTAACTTGTTTACAATCTCATGCTTAAAGGTCTAGATCGATAGAGTATACAGAGTATAGTTGAGTAATTTTCTATCCAATAGTGTAAAAAGTTTAGCTGATGCAAGATAAAAATAAGTTGATTAGCAAGGGTAGATAGTGAGAAAGGTCCCCTTTCTAATTACTGATCGTGATTTTAAAAGAACAATACATTTTTCGTTTGCATTTCTTCAATTTATACTGCTAGAAAAGATAGTTCATTAATTTTTCTTGAATACTGTCATATATTTACTTTTAAAAAACGAAAAAAGAAGTGAAAAATTTATGTTTACACGTATCAAATAAATAACACTCCGACACAGATTTTAGAACATGAACGTGATTCTTACAGATTTTTTGTTACTGAAAATGAATCCATAAATGAAATTGCTCTATCACGTCATGTGTTTTTGAGATTTATCTTAATTGAACTTAAATACCGAAAATGGCATTTTTTAGTACCTTTGAGATAAAATACCTTAAAAACGTGATGTAATAGAACAATTTCATTTACGGATATGTTTTCAGCGACAAAAATTCTGTAAGTATCACCTACTTTTATTGATTGCTTTATGCAAAAAGTAACATTTATAATGAGAAGAAGGGAACTTAAATCCGTAGATATAAATATAATTCTTTGAGAATCGGTTATACAATTTAAATCACCTGTATGATTTGTGAGGTCGCTGATTTATGAATATATTATGAATCTGAAATTGTTTAAACAAATTATCACATATAATTTATTTAAATAATTATTGTTTAAATAGTTAATAAAAATTTAATTTGAATAAAAATAATAGCACTATTAAATTCTATTGAAAAAAGTGCATTGCATTATTTTTCCGCTATTCCATTCGTCGTAAAAAAAATACAAAACGACAAGTAATTAAAATTGCATATTGCCAAAGAGTTATATTTATCTATGGATTTAAGTTCCCTTCTTTTCATTATAGCTCTGCTGCTTCTCGCATAAAGCAGTCAATTGAATAAGGTAGTGAATTTTATAGATTTATAAATGAAATTGCTTTTTCACGTCACGTTTTTGAGATTTAATTCAAAGATATAAATGCAATTTTTGATACTTTTAAGTTACATTTTTTTAAAAACGTAACATATTAGAGCAATTTCATTTACGGATTTGTTTTTAGCAACAAAAAATCTATAGGAATTGCTTGGTTCTGTTCGTAGTCTAGAAAAAGTTTAGATTTGTGTCAGATAGTATAATATTATGTTGAATTCATTTATAAGAAAATAAATTAGATTTAAGATAAAATATTGTTAATAATTTCATAGCGAGTTTGAATCAACATGTACCTCGATTCTGTAACTCTTAACAATAGTTCGGTACCGTTCATTGTTATTGTACACATATAGGTATATATGGTAAAAAAAACTGCCAACGAAAATATATCGAACTGTATGTCATATGTTTTTTTCTTTCCTATTATATTCTTTTTTCTTTATAGATAAATTTTTTGTTTCTTTATAGATCTATGTATGATGTGAATTATAGATATTATCCTCCTTGTACATTAGTTAAAAATTTGTTTTTTTTTTATTTTTTATATTAATTGTTTGAACATAAAATCAATCTTTTATGAAACAACGCTTATAGTTCAGTGATTATTACATATACTTAACATAATTAATTAAATCAAACCATTAATTATATAATTAACCTTTAATGCACACGATAGGTCATTTGTGACACAGCATTTCTTTTCCTTGAAATGTTATATATATATATATATATATATCTGGTTAAATAATGATTTATATTCTTTTGAAAAAACTTTGGCATCTAGAGAACTGTGCATTGCCGGCCTCTGTTCGTGCGTATCCTTTGACCAGGATAATTCGGAAGATAGTGTGTACTTTTTTATGATAAAAAAATTTTTATTTTTTTCTTTATTTTTAATTAATTTTCGTTTCTATTGCAGAAGTATTTCGCAAATTATAAAAAAAATTTAACTATGGGTCTCTTCGTGTTGCTTAAATCCCCCAAAATTTTGCATTTAAAATGAGATAAATATATATTCGGGCGTTGAAGAGAAAAAAATGTCAATAATATATATGTAGATATATTGTAGAAAGTTATAATAAAGGTTTTTCTAATAAATTATAAGTTTTTGTAACACAATAGCAATAATAAAATGCATTGTTTAAATGCAATATATCTTCAATTTATAGCCATTTATATTAAAAAAAATGTCATTTTCAGATTACTAAATAATAATTAAACGTTTTAGACAGCCGTCACACTTGAACTATTTTTTTATTTACTATTGGTTGTGTTTTCACGTGTACGATCCTATAGATTTGATATTATTTTTTTTTTAGTTTGGAAATATTAACTTTAAGATATTAAAACATTTTTTCTTTAAAAAATTCTATTTCAGAGTTTTACATTTTTATATGAAAAAAGTGCATCTTTCTCATTTTACCGACTATAATTAGTTATAACTCAGGACACGAGAGACCCATCGTGTGTAGTAAGAATGTCAAAAATCATCCTGTGTGTTAAGAGTTATATAATTATAATTAATTTAATTATTTTATTTCTATATATTATTTTACATATTAATTTGATGTTTAATATACGGATAGGTTTATAAAACTAAATTGATTTTATCCGCATATAATAAAGACACTCTGATTTTCACAGGAGACATCCTAACGAGTGGTCCGCGAGAAATTTCCGAACACTTCATGGAGCATCATGCGTCCAGAATTCTAGCTGATAGCAGGAATAGGCATCACTCAACACGCAAAGATTATTTGCAAACGGATTTTAAAGTCGAAGACGTAGTTATGTATTTAGAAAGACTTCGTGAACGCGCTGAACGAGCGGCTCCTCCTACCCGAAGAACCCAAGAAACGCAAACTGTACCTGCGACTTTACTGACAACTACGTCGAGCTTTCATTTGCAAGAACTGCCATCTGCTCCTGCGCTACAGCATTTACAACAGGTATTATATATTCACATTACGTAATAAAAAATATTATGTAATAACATACATATGTATGCCAACGTTTCGTGAATCTTGCCGTTCACTTCGTCAGAGCGAGGAGCGCACTGATACAGTGCGCTTCTCACCCTGACGAAGTGAACGGCAAGGTTTACAAAACGTTGGCATTAGCAATGGATCACGACACGGCGATAACCCGTAAACTCTTTGGCACCTCTGAAGAAACACACCCGTGAAAGCCTCAAAAGTAATATACATATGTGGTATCATATACAAGGTATTACAAAAACCGTTTAGCATTTATATGGTAGATAATATACACCATGAGTAAAAAAAGTCTTATTGTTAGTGAACATAGATCGAAAGCTCAACTTTCTAGAGAATAAACAATTTTGTATAGTTATAACTGACTTATTAGCTTCTACGTGTTGCATGTGACATAAAGATTTACCTCAGTGTTTACAAACCGCATTCTGAATGGACTTCAACTTCCATACACATTTTATAACGAAAAATTTCACCGGGAATCAGTAAATTGACATCAACCGGCGATTACGATTGGATGGACATTATGAGAGATCACCTCATTGGACTTGTAATTTTTGAAAATAGATTATTAATGCTTATCTCAATTTATCTCTTTTCACGTCGTATGAGATACTAGAGAAGAAGATAGTAAAGTTAGTTATGATACTAATATACAAAATTGTTTACGTATAAGTATCTCAGAAACGGTTGAAATTTCGATCTATATTTACTAAAATTAAATTAAACAAGAACAAAGGACTCTCAATGTACAAAAACAATTGAAATTAGAAAGGGCATGTAAGAGTCAAATATAAAATTCAATATAATGGTCTAAGATATAAAATGTTACCATATTACATGTTTCGGCGTTTAGATTGAACCAGCTTCAGATATGAAAAAATTCCAGGAGTAGTATTGGTAAAATTATGAAGACAATAATGTGAAATTATACAAGTATAAAATGAGGCCTGATGTCGGATCTCATCTTATACTTGGATATTTTCACATTATTGTCTTCATAATTTTACCAATACTACTCCTTGAATTTTTTCATATCTGAAGCTGGTTAAATCTATACGCCGAAACATGTAATATGGTTTTAATTACAGAGCATAATACATTTTATATTTTAGACTATTAAATTGAATTTTATATTTGACCCTTATATGCCCTTTCTAATTTCGATTGTTTTTACTAAAATTCTTTTACTTATTATACAGAGCTGTCCAAGGTCAGTGTTTTTTGGCTTGAAATCGAAATGTGTCGGTATTCACACCTATTATGCACGGTCTACAATGGCAGTAGCAGTAGTGGATGAGACTGTAAGAGTAACAAATTGACCAATAACAGTTGAATGTAAGAATAATCGACTGTGATTGGTCAATTTCTTACTCTTTCAGCCTCATCCATTACTGATACTGCCATTGTAGACGACGCATTACCGTTCCTACTCCTTACTTTATTGTTGTTTTGTCATAGCGTGTGACGTTTGGTCTCAGGGACGATATTAGTTTGAACTCATTAAAAATTTTTAACCTATGTCTTTCACTATGTTTAAAAGTATTCTTTTATTCATATTTTTATAGTTAAATATACTATGAATAATAGTATCTTATAATATTAGAAACAGAATACTTTTAAACATAATGAAAGACACAGGTCAAAACTTTTAACGATTTCGAATTAGTGTCGTCCATGAGACCGAGCATCGCGCGCTATGACAAAATAGCAATGAAATGAGAAGGAACGGTAATGGGTGTGAATACCGATACATTTCAATTTCAAGCCAAAAAACACCGATCTTGGACAGCTCTGTATTATGATATGTATCATCTATCATATAAATGTAAAATTATTTTTAGGTCCTGTATATGTATATAATATTATATAATATATCATCTTGGAATCATATTCCAATATAAAATTACTGCGGCAAATATTTCTACTAATTTTATTTACTCTCTTATGATATAACTGCAAAAAATAATTTTATTTAATTCTGTTTTAAAGCCTCCTTTAAAAAGGCGTAAACTTTCACAGAATACAACCACGATGTCTACTACTGTTGCGGCCTCCACGAGTAATAAACGTTATAACTGTCCATGCTGTCCTTATGGCACGGACAGACGAGATCTTTACACACGACATGAGAATATCCATCGCGAACAAAAACCATTTCATTGCTACATGTGCTACAAACCATTTAATCGTGCGGATCACGTAAAGAAGCATTTCATGAGAATGCACCGCGATCACGTGTACGATGTATCGAAGATACGGAAACCAGTGGATACAAACGCTCCCAAGTCGTTACAACAGGATTCGACGGCAACCGTCAACGTGAGCAGTCAGCAACAACCGCAACAACAACATATGAGCAATCAGTTCGGTTTCGCTAGCAATAAGGGCTATCAACTACAGCCGAACGCTGTCGCATCGAGCGCCAATACAGGCACCGGTATCCACCAAGCGATAATCATGCCTTCTCCGTCGGGTATTGTGCAATCCGATAATAATTGCAATACAGGAAGGCGAGTGCAAAACGGTGGGTGCAATAGTAAAAGTCATCTTAAGGGTGGCGCCAAAGGCTCACAGGAAAAAAGGTACGTTTCTGAAAATTGTTTCTTGAATTTCTTCACGCTTTGATGATCATTTTTCATTTATATAATTTTTTCAAAATGTATGTTTGAATATCAAAATTATGCGATTTAAAATCCTTGTGTTTACACGCAAATAAACGAAATGTGACGTTTTTTTTTTATAAGAAATTCTTCTTCATATACTCATAGTATCGTAAGTCGAATTTAGCGAAACTATTGTTGTTCGGAAAGTTCGTTTTAAATTTTGTTAGCCCAAAATTGTATGTACATCTTCATTAAAAATGAACAAAATTTAAATTAAAAAAAATGGTTTTAAAGCTAAACTTCTACTTTCAAAAACTTATTGCTTTTTGAGTTTATGTGAATTTTGTAATTTTTACATATAGAAAACTACGAATTTAAAAAAAAATGAAAAAATTTTTTCTCACTTTGTAGGTCTGTCACGTGATCAAAAGAAGTTGCGAAAATGTTCGACTATCTATCATAAAAATTGGAAGCTTTCCCTGCAAAATCGTTTTTTGAAAATATTCTTACGATTTTTTGTTCTTGAGTTAAATAAAAAGGAGCATACAGACTTTAATTGCTCATAACTTCGTTAAAAAATCATCGTATCTCGATTAAAAAACCAGATTCTTAAGGCTGAAACATTGCTTTATCGAGTGATAAATGCAAATTTTTTTTAAAAATATAATATATATGCATTTAAGCTAAAAATATATTATTTTCCTTCTAACCATTGCGCAATGATTACAAGGAAAGTAATGTCATATTTTTAGCTTAAATTTATATATATTCTATTTTTTAATAAAATTGGCAATTATACCATTCGATAAAATAAAGTTTTTTAAAAATGTGTATCTTTAGTTGCAGTACGATGATTTTTAACCGAGTTATGAGCAATACAATCCGAATGTTCCTTTTTACTTAACTCGCGAATAATTCAGTACAAAATCGGAGGAACATTTTTTAAAAACGAATCTTTAGGAAAAATTTAAGCTTTCACGTTAGATAGTCGAAAACTTCGCAATAAATATATTCTGTATATAATTTTGAGCTAACAAAATTTGAAATGAATTTTCCGAACAATCCATGTATTGAAGCATTTCTGTCAAGATACAGCTGTATGTACTGTTCATGGACCGGAGTTGATAACTGGTGTCTAAAACGACATATGAATACTCATACGAAACCCTTTGCTTGCACCTTGTGTGAGTACAAAGCGGCGCGCGCTGAGCGACTTTCAACACACGTTCTAAAGGTCCACAATAGGAGACAATGTTCGAGGTGCCCGTTTCTTGCCGAAGATGCCAATCAATTGCAAATACATCAGGTTCATATTCATCGTGCGAGTGTGCCGTCGACATCGACTACTCAGAACGTAGTACCGCCAAGTAATCGACATCAGCAACCTCTACAGTAAGTTTTACATTTGAAAATAATATTACAATAAAGTCGGACAACTCTCTCTAAGAGCTATTAGACAGTTATTATTTGTGTATGTTAACAATTCATATTTATTCTTACTATATACATACATTCCAATCGACGTTTCGGTTATTTTTTTTCAGCCATCTTCAAGATAATGAAAAAACCCGAACAATATAATAAAAATTCAAAATTAAGAACTATTATTGCAAATGGCATGGAATGTAGGCACATTCCAGCAAACCTTGAGAGATTCTCCATTAGATTGTATGACTCTTTTTAAACAACCATCAAATTGTTTAACAAGGTCGTTCATGAATGTGTCTACATTTGCAATAATAGTTCATAATTTTGAATTTTTGTTATATTGTTCGGGTTTTTTCATTATCTTGAAGACGGCTGAAAAAAGCAGCCAAAGCATCGATTGGAATGTATATAGTATGTATATAGTAAGAATAAATATTGTTAACATACACAAATAATAATCGTGTAATAGCTCTTAGTTGCCCGGCTTATTGTAATATTATTTTTAATATTGAGAGCTCTATAAATTTATACTAGTTTTACATTTGAAGCACGATTTAATAAAAGGACCTCGCCCAAATCTTATCTATGGGAAAATGGATCCCAGTCGAATTTAACTATAATGTTAAATTTTACTATAATGTAGATCCTGATCAAAAGTTCTCAAAATGGATATGAGATCCTAAAATGGACAGTTTCTGAGATATTGGAGGTCAAATGTTGGAATTTATTATATACGGTCATAATAAATCGTTTATTATTGTTTGTACACGCTGCCTAAAAGATGTTAAAAAATACTACGCTACATATCGGTTATTTCCGAGGGGTCAATCACCATGGCAATCAACGTATATTTCTTTAGAAGTATATTGCTGCAGTAATAAAACAGGCGGTACTGGGGTAAAGACCCAATTACTGATAGAGTCCAAAATACTGGCAATCTTATCTTAAATGTTTTTTTGAATATATAAATTATATGATAAGTAATTGTATTTACTTAAATTTAGAAAATGTCTACTTATTATTATAATATTTCACTAACTTGAAACTTTAACCTTCTAATTAAAAAAAAAGTCTAAATTCTGAAAATCTCAATTTTCGTCCGAGCCAAGTTTATTCTTACTAAGAAATGCGATAAGAGGTAGTTATAGGAATGAGTAATTTTAAATTAAATTTATCAAAAAGTGCCAATGAAATTTTCGGCGCGCAGTTCAAAATGACTATAAATATGGTATATATGTATGTATGTACATATTATAGTATGTATATACATACCTATATATAAAATTCACACATTGAATTATTTAAACATCAAAGATCCAGCTTCGATCGTTGGGTGTTTGATTCCTATTATTGGTTGTGTTCTCACATGATTTAATAAGATTCTTATTGTTTAAAAATTACATTCTTAATTATGCAAATATTAGAAATTTTTTATTTTTGTTTATTCCTTTGCTTAAAGGTTGTAAATTGATAAATAAATTCTTCGTATATATAATTTCGCAAAACAGAAATATTCGCAAATTTCAATTTTTTTGCAATCTAGATCACCTTCATTCTCAACCGAATAATTTACGCAATTATCTATTACTCATTATTGGATTTACAGTCCCGTGGGAGGAGGACGACCGCCACCTGGGCCACCAGTTTTTCCAGCACCGACTCCAACGATTGCACCTGCTACTACTGTGATACCACCAAGCACTATACTCGGGTAAGTATTATAACGTTTATCGTTGTTGCACGTTGATACTCGGTTTCCATTTGGTTTTTATTCAATTAATTACATTTTGTTGCGTTTTCTCCTCTTTTTTTATTTACCATTAATTGCGCAATGAATGCCGGCACGACATTAAATGGCGAGCTCTTTCGAATTTTATGTTCGCTCATTTGGCTAATGTTGGCGCGCTCGACGACGGGTCACGATTTGTATGCATTAACTTTTTGTCACGAGTTCTGATCGTCAGTCTGCTATTGTACGGATGATTCATGGAACGTCCAATGCTATCACATTTTCTACATTTAATGCGAAATCGATGTACATCAATCGTTACCCGTTCATGATGCGGTCCGACGATTCGTCATCTCGCGCATCATTGTCCACTCCTCCTCCTATATTTTGTTACGTTCTAGCGTCATTTTTTAATATTATTTTTAGTTAAAAAAAAAAAAAAAATGAGATCTCATCTCGTATGCTACCATGTGCACGCTTCAATTTGCTTTTTCGATGTTGTAGGCCGCGATTTTGATTACGTACGCGTTGTTGTTGTTGAATGTGTTCTTGTCTAGTTACACAGTTTTATTTCTCTCACGTCGTGTTACGACGAACACTCGTACGTTGGTAGAAAAATGACGCGAACGTAACTTATGGAACAGTGCCGCGGTGGTTGCAGCCACGAGATGGTAAAGTCCCCTGCAACTGCAACGACTATGGCATACCCTACGGAGGAGGAGAAGCGGTCGCACCGTCACATAGGCGACACCAATGGTGACGACGACGATGACGACGACGATGATGATATCGTCCGAAGCAATGGTAACCGCGAGGCACGCAGTCGTGACTTCGTCATATGTCGCGTCTGCGATTTCAAGAGCGATAGAGATGATGATCTTGAGTCATATTTAAATGATCACAATAACGGGAGTAGAAACGACGGCGTTATCGATACATCTAATAATGATTTTACATGTAGTTGGCAGCTACCATCGACGTCAAAAGCCGCTGATGAACTTTCGGAATCATCATCTTCGCAGGAATATGTAAGTATCCTAAATGAAAAGGAAAATCTAGGGATTGAAAATGGGAGCTCTCGATGTACAACATCAAGGCGAAAACAAAGTCGGCCCAGACAAGTTATACGCCAACCTGATTATCAAATGAGATATTTGATACCCGCTTTAGGTTTGCAAAATATAAGACAAAAGTTCAAAATTACTAAAATTACTAAAAGTGTTCAATCTCAAAAGAGATCGACAGCACAGAGGATGTTTAAGTGTCATTTGTGCCCGAAATACGCACCCGCTAGAGGAATGATTCATCGGCCGTACCACACCAAAGCGTCATTAACATTACATATGTTGTGGCGACACAAACGAAGATTATGGCCAGTCAAAAACCTTATGACAAGAAGACCTTGTAAAGAAGAGTCATCATCGACCGTTTCTTCAGTTACAGTTACGGTTTTTACTAACAAGAATTATAGATATAACAGATAACAGCAAATCAGGCTGTTATGTAAAGTAAATTTTTAACTAATTATAATTTTTAATTCTAATTTTTAATTGTAATTTTTAATTGTAATTTTTAACTAATTATAAGTCTCCAAGGGTTATTCAGACAAATAATTTTTCCATTAAAAACATTGATAAATTTTACATTATTCTACTTGACAAAATTTGAATATTAATATTTTTAGTAATATTTTCTGACCTTCTCATTGCAGAAGATTAATATAAGGATTTGTGATTCAAATTGTTTTCTCAACGCAGAAAAAAAGGATGATTTTAATTTTTGCAAGTTAAATTTTTGTATGTATACTTGCATATGAGTCTATATCTGTAATATAATAGTTTGCGTTAATGAAGTTTGAGAATAAATTTTATGGTTTTAAGATAACGTAATCTGTTTTGTAGAGTTGAGAGAACGAGAGAATACAAAAAGAGATGTACGAGGTCTATCTCATTTGTAGAACATTATCAAGAGTGATAAAATCACTGTGAACGGTAGATGCGTTCCTAAGAAAGATATTCTGAATATTTCCTTTATTGGGTTTGTGTATAAATTCAATAATAATTTTCTTAATAAACTGTTACGTATGAGACAGATATCGTACATATAATTGAAAGTATTTTAATGTAACTTATATAAGAATGTGTAAATACGTTTTTTCCACAATAATCTTAACTGCTTCAACATTAAATAAGATGTTCGGGTTGATTATAAATGTTATATAAATGATTTTTTCGGAATATCGATTGGACATGTGAAGTGTAAAGTGTAAGATTTCATGTAAAATTAAAGAGACGAAGGAAGTGAAAAATCATTTTTGATAACTGATATGTTAACCTTAAGTCCAGATTATTGAGGTGAATTTCGAATTTTGCCAAACCTCGTGAGCATTTCTATGATTCACATTATGATTTCAATTTTGTGTTTTATGCAGTTAAATATACATGCGAGAGTTTGACTCTCTCGGAGCTCGTCTCTAAGTTTGATTTGAGGTTCGACTCGACGTTTTCCATAACTTCAACAGATCTCAATAATAATCTGGACCCATCTTTATATGTACGATCTCCTCCAATACATATTTTATAAAGGAGAAGGGTTAATAAAGTCGTTTTTGTATGCCCTACGGATTTCCATTAGACAACTTTTTTTTTATTGTACGATCATTAGGAATGTCAAAAATAATATCATTATATATCACTATAATACTTAAGCCTTTTTTATAACTAATAAGTGAATTAATAAAATATTTTCATTCATTATACTGCTCTGCTATCATATTAACGTCATTTTAGACTATCTATCGTTCCCAAAGTGAAAATGAATACATTGAAATATGGATACTCATTAAATGATGAGGCCCACAGATAGATTATTATTTGTTGTCTACAGACTTAAGCTTTTACACCAAAGTTGTTATCATATTATAGAGATTTTTTTATTTTTTCAATTTTTTTTAAGTTGAAAGTCACATCGTTGTATATGGATCATTTGATAAATACCCATATGTTAAGTGTAATAAAAAAATTCAATTTTTTATTATGAGCTGTATTCATCTTCATCTTGGAGGATGATAGATAATCTAAAAAGTTAATATAATGGCAGAGCAATATACTGAACGAAAATGTTTTATTAATTAATATAATATATTATAGGACCACCCAAAAAAATATTCTGCCAATAAGCGGGGAATTCCTCTTAACATTTCCTCTAAGCAAAAAATCTTACATTAATCTTACATTAATCAGGTGCGTATATTTATAACGTGTATTCATCTATAAAAATGAGAGGACATACGAACTACGATCAAAAATAAATTCCTCTATAGAAAATTCTATTATAATAACTGGAATAGCCTTTTGAAATAAAAGGATACACAAAATACTAGCGGCACGCTTACTTGTTAGAAGAGGTTTGTCATTTACGTGCTACAGTAATACGCGTGCACGTCAGTACATACAAGATATTCTTCTAGTATTGAGAGGATCGCAATCCTAAATCCAGTACTTTAGGGTTATACGAAATTCCTTTATTTTGTAGAGTATCCTCTTAAGGTCATATATAAATGGAAAATCCTCTGACATTAACACGGAATCGTTAAATGGTAGAATATTTTTTTTTGGGTGTATATGTGATAACACAAACTATAGAAATCAATGCCGTGAACGGTCTAGCTGGATGATCTCAAATGCTTGTATGATTTAGTGTGAATTTATATTTTTATTAATTCACTTATTAATTACGAAAAGAACTTAAGTATCATTAGAGACCATAAAACGGCTTTATTACAATGCTCTTCCTTCGTTGTTCCATAGTTCAAAATGATCCATAGTTTAAATTTTGGGCTGTATTACTTTACAGAGTATCTTGTAGTTGGGCGTTGTATGATATCTAGGAGAAAGCGAGGACCACGAATTTAAATATTCTTAAAATAATTATTTTTATAATATTTAAATTCTATATTATTACATTTCCAACAATTTACAAAAAGCAGCGAAATCCCTAAAAAAAACTTTTTTTAAAAAATATATACAAGTGCATAAAAAAGATTTCAAATATTACATTCTTCTTAATAAAAAACGGATACGAAATAAATGCAATTAGCGAAGTATTTCATCACGCAAGACACACGATAGACTGAAAGCTAAAATGGTCAACTGGATTATAGATACTTATTATAGTGAAGAAAAAACTTAGTGTGTTCAGGTCGTAATAATTACATTTCTGCATATATATTATCTCAACACAGTATTATGAAAATATAAAAATAACAGACATGTATATAATATTTTATATATATATAATATATATATATATATAGCAACATAGTAATAATATAGTTTATTTAGGACATGAAAATATATTCACAAATAATAGATGTGATAAATTTATATGAACAAATAATAAGTAATATAATATTAATAATATTTAGATGTAGAAGAGCGTGTAGGGGATCGATAAATTAAGAAAAAAGTCTTGTAGAGATATGCTCGTTTTTGCTTCGTTTTAGAAAAAAATCGCAAAAAAGACAACGTAGATTTCATTTTTGTACTTTCTCATTACTTATTCACGTTGTATTTATTCACTTGCTTAATGTAGATATTGTTCAAAATGTTGGCCTCTTGCAGCAATGCAAGCATTGCATCTAGCACGACAACTCGTGTTGCAGCTAAACACTGATCTAGCGATATTTGGTGCATTGCAGCCTCGATTCGATTTCTCAATTGTTCTCTTGAGTTGATTGACAATGAATAAATTTCCTGCTTCAGGATCCTCACATAAAAGATAAAGAAATCCAGTGATCAGGTGACCAGGGTGGCCAAGATACTACTGCTCCACTTCTAATGGAAAATATCTGTCTATCCAAGCTCGAGTAGTTCTGCCATAATGAGTTGGACACTCATTGAGTTGAAATTCAATTCGTTGCTGCAGGTGGATGTCTTCTAAATAATCAAAGAAGTTAGTGTTCAAAAAATCTGTATATCTGGCTGAATTTAATCTGTCAGGTAAAAAAATGGTCCCACTAGACAAAAACAAACAAAAAAGTTTTCACCTGAAAACAGAATTATTATTATTGTTTTCGTGTACATACGATTTCAACGACGATAATACTTTAGAGGCAGTGCAAGAACGAAGTAACTATGTTTCGTCTTTTTTGTGATTTTCTCCAAAACGAAGCAAGAACATATCTCTACAGGACTTTTTTTCTTAGTTTATCGATCTCCTACACGCTCTCGAAGTTTTGACATTTAAATTCCAGGCATCCTGTAGAAAATGAGACAAGATTAGTAAGCAATTATTAACATGTCTTCCATTGAATTATTACTTACATGTCTTACATGTATTATGTATATTTGCAGAGGTATCGTATGTAATAACCTTTTTATTAATTTGTATTGCATATTTTTATTCGTATTGAATATCGTATTCCATATTTTTTTTATTCGTATTAGACGGATAGTTTTAGAATGACAGCAATTGACCAATTTGGCCCAGTAATAACTGTGAAACTTTACAAAGTATTTCTTTTTCGTTGTGATCTCGCTGATGACGACCCCACGTGTTGGCTGAAACGTTCGAATGTAAAGCAAGATAAGTACAATTTACCTACACATTTAATCCATGTTTGTATACTAAGTACCGCACCGAACTATCATTTGCCTGAATTTCTTATATTATTTTAATTTCGAGAGTCCATAACTAGCATTTTTTATAACTAGCATTTTTTGTTTATATAAAAGTGTATCCTAAAGAACATATTTTGAAATCAAATTTTAGATAACACCAGAGTGAATTTGGCCAAAGCAATGCGATGACAGACTGAGACCAAGCATAGACCAGATCTAGGGTTGGGTATCTGAAGTAAGTTAAATTAACAGTTTTGAAAACTTAACTCTTAGTTAAGTTACGAGTTAATCCATAATTAAATTAATTGAATTAAAAGTTAAGTTAATAAAAAAAGTAATTGAAAAGTTAAAAGTTAAATTTGGTTCCAAATAAACAACCAAAAGAAAAGAAAAAGAAATAATTTGATCGTTTTAGATAATTTTTCATATTTTTCCTTTCTCACAGTACATTTATTAAAGAATCACTGATTATTTTTTATAACTAACGATTATACAGTATAAAAGACATAAAATTACTAAATTATATATTTATTATTCCTTCGCACTATATCTTAGAATTAATTTCAAAAAAGTTAAATTAAAAGTTAATAGTTACCGATAAAATATTACGTTAACAAATCAATTTTAACTTAACTTAGCTACACTTAATTAACTATTTAACTTAACTTTTAACTTTTTCACTTAGCACTACCCAACCCTGATCAGATTTATTGCCAAATACATCGACAGATTGACGCTATATAAATATCATGTCTTTGAATTTTGTACAGAAATTTATTGCATCAAAAATTGTATTATTAATATATTATATATGTCACTTATTTTCATCATGAAACTCTATTTGGGAACTCTATTTCGAACAA